TCTCATTGGACAGCAGCAGCCTTTTGCCCGCCTTTTGCCCGCCTTTTGCCCGCCTTTTGCCCGCCTTTTGCCCGCCTTTTGCCCGCCTTTTGCCCGCCTTTTGCCCGCCTTTTGCCCGCCTTTTGCCCGCCTTTTGCCCGCCTTTTGCCCGCCTTTTGCCCGCCTTTTGCCCGCCTTTTGCCCGCCTTTTGCCCGCCTTTTGCCCGCCTTTTGCCCGCCTTTTGCCCGCCTTTTGCCCGCCTTTTGCCCGCCTTTCTCTTCACCTTCCCCCGGCCCCTTTTCCCCTTTCCTCTTCTTTCTTCTCATGTCCTGTTTTTTCCTTCCAGGTTCCTTTTTACTCTCCCTTGCCCCCTTTTATCTCCCTGTTTTTTGCCCATTTTTCCCCCTCTTCTCCTCTCTCCTTTTCTCCTCCTCGTCTCCTTTTCTTTTTCCTCCCTTTCTCATTCTTCTTTTCCCCTTTCCCCTCTTGTCTTCCTTTCCCTTTGGCCCCCTTTACTCTCCTCTTCTTCGCCCCCTTCTTCTTCTTTTTGCCCCCATCCCCACTTCCCCTTTCACCCCCTTTACCCCTTTTCCTCCCCATCTCCCTTTTCTCCCCGTCCCCCTTTTCTGTTTTCCTTTTCCTCTTTTTCTCCCCCTTCCTTCCTTTCCCCCCCCCCCCCCTCGGCCCCATTCCTTTTTCCTTCCCCATCGTCCCCTTTTCTTCCAAAGCCCATTCCATTCCCAGTGCGATAGCGGCTCCTGCGCGCAGCCGAGCCCCAAGCAGCAGCGCTGCGTCTTGGCTCCCCCATTGCCCGCTGCTGAGCTCTTCCTGCCCTGGCTCCAAATTGGCTGAGCGCTGCAGCTTCCCCTTTCTGGCGACGCTTCACCACTCGCACAAACAGCCAGCAGACGCACATCTTTGCTGCCCAAACACACACAGGCCTTCATTGCTTCATTGCTTTCTCACCACTGCTCTCTTAACCAACGTGCGGTCGGAACTTGCGGCTCTCAGGTTTTCAGTATCAACACAGACACAGCCTCTGAATTGCTTCATTCCCCCCTGCCATTCGTGCCCTTCCCGCTGCTCGTCGTTCTGCTCATCCGTCAGTCCTTCCGCAGTGCTGAGCTCGGCAGGAGGACAGAGGGGAGCAGCTGGGAGCCTCACAGCCTCCTCGCGTTCCCATGCAGCGGGACAGCACTGCTGCGTGCGACGGCCCTGATTCCTCCCTCGTCCCCCTTTTCCTTTTTTCCTTCTCATGCACTTCCTGCTATCCCGCCTTATCCCCGCCTTCCCTCATCTCTTCTTGCACTCTTTGACCCCTTTTTCTCCCCGCATCCTTATTTCTCTTCACATTCTCCTGTTTTTTTTCCCCTTTCCTCTTCTTCGTCCCCAGCTCCGCTTCCCCCCACCTCACGTCCCCTTTCTTCTGTCCCTGTACCCCATTTTTCCCTTTTTTTCTCTACCCCCTTTTTTTTGTTCTCTGCTGTCCCCTATTCCCTTTTTCCTCTTTGCTCTCTCTCTCCTTTCTTCCCCCTCATCCTGTTACAGAAGAGAGTGAAGGAATGATGGACAAGCTGGTGCAGGATGGCAGCAGCAGGGTGGCAGCCCAGGTGGGTGCGATGAAGCCCGGGGTGGGACTGGGTGGAGCCAGAGCCCTGCCTGAGCTCATTTAAGGGCTGGGAATGGCAGGGCTCAGATGTGTGCCTGGGCTTCTGGTGTCAGTGAGGTTGGGTGAGCAGTGAGGTTTGGGAGGGACCGAGTTGTTGGCCTTGAGATTGATGCCCAGCTCCTTGCTCGTCGCATTCTGTTTGGCTCGAGGTTCCGGACACGGCTTGGTCTTCTAAGCAGCGTGAGGACTGCCAGAAAGACTTTGTTGGATGCAGCAGGAAAGCACAGCCGCTGGTGGATGCCAGTGTCCGCTCCTGAGGCTCTGCGCCAAGGTACGTGGATCCCTGCCATCTCCTGTTTCACACGCTCGCTGAGGTCCTTTGGGGCTTGGTGTCGCTTGTCCCTCGTGCTCTCGTTGCTGTCACCGGGTGTTGTTCCTTTCCCCACGCTCAGTTCTGCCCTGTGCTGATGGGATGCCAATGCCACCTGCTGCTCTTAATAAAAGGTAGGTTTGATTTCTTTTGGTTTCCATAGCATTTGCTACACTTTCATTCTGTCTCACTTCTTTTTTTTTTTGTTGTTTTTTCTTTTTGCTCTCAATAAATGGCAGGTTCAATTCATTTTGGCTCCTGTAGTGTTTGCTACACGTGTGTTCTGTTTCTCTTCTCTTTTTTCCATGTTGCCTGGCGGTGCCTGGCTGGAGTTCCCATGAGCCCCGGGCCCACTTGTGACCAAGTGAGGTGCCAAAAACAGAGGTATCTCCTAAACAGGCTTGTGCTGAGTGCTGTCCTCGTCTTGGGCTTTGTCCAATGCCCACCTTTCTTTTCTAGCCCACTTTGTTGAGGACGGCGTGTGAGGCTTTCTTCTTTCTTTGTAGGATTGGCGACTCCAGCACCACAAGTAGCAGGCATTTTGGGATGTCCAAGGTTCCGTAGTGAACGTGTCCTGTTCCTGGTAAAGGTGTGGGCGTTCCTGGACACGAAGGTATCTATCTTCCTGCCTTGCCCATGTGCCCAGTCCCCCACCAGATGCTGTTTGCCTTTTGGCCCCCCTGATTTGCTGTACTGCTGCGCCCTGATCCTTGCAGAGGGGTAAGTGACACCTTTGTCCCTTCCAGAAAGCGCTCTCCACTTTCCTCTCGTTGGTCACCGGCAGCGCCGTCCTTCTCTCGCCAGGCTCTCATTGGTCAGCGGCAGTGCCGTCCCGCCCTCATGTGTCTCTCATTGGTGATCGACAGCACCGTCCCGCCCTATCAGCATCTCATTGGTCATCGACAGCTCCATCCCGCCTCCGCCAGCATCTCATTGGACAGCAGCAGCCTTTTGCCCGCCTTTTGCCCGCCTTTTGCCCGCCTTTTGCCCGCCTTTTGCCCGCCTTTTGCCCGCCTTTTGCCCGCCTTTTGCCCGCCTTTTGCCCGCCTTTTGCCCGCCTTTTGCCCGCCTTTTGCCCGCCTTTTGCCCGCCTTTTGCCCGCCTTTTGCCCGCCTTTTGCCCGCCTTTTGCCCGCCTTTTGCCCGCCTTTTGCCCGCCTTTTGCCCGCCTCCGCCTTTTGCCCGCCTTTCTCTTCACCTTCCCCCGGCCCCTTTTCCCCTTTCCTCTTCTTTCTTCTCATGTCCTGTTTTTTCCTTCCAGGTTCCTTTTTACTCTCCCTTCCCCCTTTTATCTCCCTGTTTTTTGCCCATTTTTCCCCCTCTTCTCCTCTCTCCTTTTCTCCTCCTCGTCTCCTTTTCTTTTTCCTCCCTTTCTCATTCTTCTTTTCCCCTTTCCCCTCTTGTCTTCCTTTCCCTTTGGCCCCCTTTACTCTCCTCTTCTTCGCCCCCTTCTTCTTCTTTTTGCCCTCATCCCCACTTCCCCTTTCACCCCCTTTACCCCTTTTCCTCCCCATCTCCCTTTTCTCCCCGTCCCCCTTTTCTGTTTTCCTTTTCCTCTTTTTCTCCCCCTTCCTTCCTTTCCCCCCCCCCCTCGGCCCCATTCCTTTTTCCTTCCCCATCGTCCCCTTTTCTTCCAAAGCCCATTCCATTCCCAGTGCGATAGCGGCTCCTGCGCGCAGCCGAGCCCCAAGCAGCAGCGCTGCGTCTTGGCTCCCCCATTGCCCGCTGCTGAGCTCTTCCTGCCCTGGCTCCAAATTGGCTGAGCGCTGCAGCTTCCCCTTTCTGGCGACGCTTCACCACTCGCACAAACAGCCAGCAGACGCACATCTTTGCTGCCCAAACACACACAGGCCTTCATTGCTTCATTGCTTTCTCACCACTGCTCTCTTAACCAACGTGCGGTCGGAACTTGCGGCTCTCAGGTTTTCAGTATCAACACAGACACAGCCTCTGAATTGCTTCATTCCCCCCTGCCATTCGTGCCCTTCCCGCTGCTCGTCGTTCTGCTCATCCGTCAGTCCTTCCGCAGTGCTGAGCTCGGCAGGAGGACAGAGGGGAGCAGCTGGGAGCCTCACAGCCTCCTCGCGTTCCCATGCAGCGGGACAGCACTGCTGCGTGCGACGGCCCTGATTCCTCCCTCGTCCCCCTTTTCCTTTTTTCCTTCTCATGCACTTCCTGCTATCCCGCCTTATCCCCGCCTTCCCTCATCTCTTCTTGCACTCTTTGACCCCTTTTTCTCCCCGCATCCTTATTTCTCTTCACATTCTCCTGTTCTTTTTTCCCCTTTCCTCTTCTTCGTCCCCAGCTCCGCTTCCCCCCACCTCACGTCCCCTTTCTTCTGTCCCTGTACCCCATTTTTCCCTTTTTTTCTCTACCCCCTTTTTTTTGTTCTCTGCTGTCCCCTATTCCCTTTTTCCTCTTTGCTCTCTCTCTCCTTTCTTCCCCCTCATCCTGTTACAGAAGAGAGTGAAGGAATGATGGACAAGCTGGTGCAGGATGGCAGCAGCGGGGTGGAAGCCCAGGTGGGTGCGATGAAGCCCGGGGTGGGACTGGGTGGAGCCCGAGCCCTGCCTGAGCTCATTTAAGGGCTGGGAATGGCAGGGCTCAGATGTGTGCCTGGGCTTCTGGTGTCAGTGAGGTTGGGTGAGCAGTGAGGTTTGGGAGGGACCGAGTTGTTGGCCTTGAGATTGATGCCCAGCTCCTTGCTCGTCGCATTCTGTTTGGCTCGAGGTTCCGGACACGGCTTGGTCTTCTAAGCAGCGTGAGGACTGCGAGAAAGACTTTGTTGGATGCAGCAGGAAAGCACAGCCGCTGGTGGATGCCAGTGTCCGCTCCTGAGGCTCTGCGCCAAGGTACGTGGATCCCTGCCATCTCCTGTTTCACACGCTCGCTGAGGTCCTTTGGGGCTTGGTGTCGCTTGTCCCTCGTGCTCTCGTTGCTGTCACCGGGTGTTGTTCCTTTCCCCACGCTCAGTTCTGCCCTGTGCTGATGGGATGCCAATGCCACCTGCTGCTCTTAATAAAAGGTAGGTTTGATTTCTTTTGGTTTCCATAGCATTTGCTACACTTTCATTCTGTCTCACTTCTTTTTTTTTTTGTTGTTTTTTCTTTTTGCTCTCAATAAATGGCAGGTTCAATTCATTTTGGCTCCTGTAGTGTTTGCTACACGTGTGTTCTGTTTCTCTTCTCTTTTTTCCATGTTGCCTGGCGGTGCCTCGCTGGAGTTCCCATGAGCCCCGGGCCCACTTGTGACCAAGTGAGGTGCCAAAAACAGAGGTATCTCCTAAACAGGCTTGTGCTGAGTGCTGTCCTCGTCTTGGGCTTTGTCCAATGCCCACCTTTCTTTTCTAGCCCACTTTGTTGAGGACGGCGTGTGAGGCTTTCTTCTTTCTTTGTAGGATTGGCGACTCCAGCACCACAAGTAGCAGGCATTTTGGGATGTCCAAGGTTCCGTAGTGAACGTGTCCTGTTCCTGGTAAAGGTGTGGGCGTTCCTGGACACGAAGGTATCTATCTTCCTGCCTTGCCCATGTGCCCAGTCCCCCACCAGATGCTGTTTGCCTTTTGGCCCCCCTGATTTGCTGTACTGCTGCGCCCTGATCCTTGCAGAGGGGTAAGTGACACCTTTGTCCCTTCCAGAAAGCGCTCTCCACTTTCCTCTCGTTGGTCACCGGCAGCGCCGTCCTTCTCTCGCCAGGCTCTCATTGGTCAGCGGCAGTGCCGTCCCGCCCTCATGTGTCTCTCATTGGTGATCGACAGCACCGTCCCGCCCTATCAGCATCTCATTGGTCATCGACAGCTCCATCCCGCCTCCGCCAGCATCTCATTGGACAGCAGCAGCCTTTTGCCCGCCTTTTGCCCGCCTTTTGCCCGCCTTTTGCCCGCCTTTTGCCCGCCTTTTGCCCGCCTTTTGCCCGCCTTTTGCCCGCCTTTTGCCCGCCTTTTGCCCGCCTTTTGCCCGCCTTTTGCCCGCCTTTTGCCCGCCTTTTGCCCGCCTTTTGCCCGCCTTTTGCCCGCCTTTTGCCCGCCTTTTGCCCGCCTTTTGCCCGCCTTTTGCCCGCCTTTTGCCCGCCTTTTGCCCGCCTTTCTCTTCACCTTCCCCCGGCCCCTTTTCCCCTTTCCTCTTCTTTCTTCTCATGTCCTGTTTTTTCCTTCCAGGTTCCTTTTTACTCTCCCTTGCCCCCTTTTATCTCCCTGTTTTTTGCCCATTTTTCCCCCTCTTCTCCTCTCTCCTTTTCTCCTCCTCGTCTCCTTTACTTTTTCCTCCCTTTCTCATTCTTCTTTTCCCCTTTCCCCTCTTGTCTTCCTTTCCCTTTGGCCCCCTTTACTCTCCTCTTCTTCGCCCCCTTCTTCTTCTTTTTGCCCTCATCCCCACTTCCCCTTTCACCCCCTTTACCCCTTTTCCTCCCCATCTCCCTTTTCTCCCCGTCCCCCTTTTTTGTTTTCCTTTTCCTCTTTTTCTCCCCCTTCCTTCCTTTCCCCCCCCCCTCGGCCCCATTCCTTTTTCCTTCCCCATCGTCCCCTTTTCTTCCAAAGCCCATTCCATTCCCAGTGCGATAGCGGCTCCTGCGAGCAGCCGAGCCCCGAGCAGCAGCGCTGCGTCTTGGCTCCCCCATTGCCCGCTGCTGAGCTCTTCCTGCCCTGGCTCCTCATTGGCTGAGCGCTGCAGCTTCCCCTTTCTGGCGACGCTTCACCACTCGCACAAACAGCCAGCAGACGCACATCTTTGCTGCCCAAACACACACAGGCCTTCATTGCTTCATTGCTTTCTCACCACTGCTCTCTTAACCAACGTGCGGTCGCAACTTGCGGCTCTCAGGTTTTCAGTATCAACACAGACACAGCCTCTGAATTGCTTCATTCCCCCCTGCCATTCGTGCCCTTCCCGCTGCTCGTCGTTCTGCTCATCCGTCAGTCCTTCCGCAGTGCTGAGCTCGGCAGGAGGACAGAGGGGAGCAGCTGGGAGCCTCACAGCCTCCTCGCGTTCCCATGCAGCGGGACAGCACTGCTGCGTGCGACGGCCCTGATTCCTCCCTCGTCCCCCTTTTCCTTTTTTTCCTCCCTCGTCCCCCTTTTCCTTTTTTCCTTCTCATGCACTTCCTGCTTTCTCTCGTTGGTCACCGGCAGCGCCGTCCTTCTCTCGCCAGGCTCTCATTGGTCACCGGCAGTGCCATCCCGCCCTCGCCAGCCTGTGATTGGTCAGCGGCTGTGCCGTCTCGCCCTCATGTGTTTCTCATTGGTGATCGACAGCTCCATCCCGCCTCCGCCAGCATCTCATTGGACAGCAGCAGCCTTTTGCCCGCCTTTTGCCCGCCTTTTGCCCGCCTTTTGCCCGCCTTTTGCCCGCCTTTTGCCCGCCTTTTGCCCGCCTTTTGCCCGCCTTTTGCCCGCCTTTTGCCCGCCTTTTGCCCGCCTTTTGCCCGCCTTTTGCCCGCCTTTTGCCCGCCTTTTGCCCGCCTTTTGCCCGCCTTTTGCCCGCCTTTTGCCCGCCTTTTGCCCGCCTTTTGCCCGCCTTTCTCTTCACCTTCCCCCGGCCCCTTTTCCCCTTTCCTCTTCTTTCTTCTCATGTCCTGTTTTTTCCTTCCAGGTTCCTTTTTACTCTCCCTTGCCCCCTTTTATCTCCCTGTTTTTTGCCCATTTTTCCCCCTCTTCTCCTCTCTCCTTTTCTCCTCCTCGTCTCCTTTTCTTTTTCCTCCCTTTCTCATTCTTCTTTTCCCCTTTCCCCTCTTGTCTTCCTTTCCCTTTGGCCCCCTTTACTCTCCTCTTCTTCGCCCCCTTCTTCTTCTTTTTGACCTCATCCCCACTTCCCCTTTCACCCCCTTTACCCCTTTTCCTCCCCATCTCCCTTTTCTCCCCGTCCCCCTTTTCTGTTTTCCTTTTCCTCTTTTTCTCCCCCTTCCTTCCTTTCCCCCCCCCCTCGGCCCCATTCCTTTTTCCTTCCCCATCGTCCCCTTTTCTTCCAAAGCCCATTCCATTCGCAGTGCGATAGCGGCTCCTGCGCGCAGCCGAGCCCCAAGCAGCAGCGCTGCGTCTTGGCTCCCCCATTGCCCGCTGCTGAGCTCTTCCTGCCCTGGCTCCAAATTGGCTGAGCGCTGCAGCTTCCCCTTTCTGGCGACGCTTCACCACTCGCACAAACAGCCAGCAGACGCACATCTTTGCTGCCCAAACACACACAGGCCTTCATTGCTTCATTGCTTTCTCACCACTGCTCTCTTAACCAACGTGCGGTCGGAACTTGCGGCTCTCAGGTTTTCAGTATCAACACAGACACAGCCTCTGAATTGCTTCATTCCCCCCTGCCATTCGTGCCCTTCCCGCTGCTCGTCGTTCTGCTCATCCGTCAGTCCTTCCGCAGTGCTGAGCTCGGCAGGAGGACAGAGGGGAGCAGCTGGGAGCCTCACAGCCTCCTCGCGTTCCCATGCAGCGGGACAGCACTGCTGCGTGCGACGGCCCTGATTCCTCCCTCGTCCCCCTTTTCCTTTTTTCCTTCTCATGCACTTCCTGCTATCCCGCCTTATCCCCGCCTTCCCTCATCTCTTCTTGCACTCTTTGACCCCTTTTTCTCCCCGCATCCTTATTTCTCTTCACATTCTCCTGTTCTTTTTTCCCCTTTCCTCTTCTTCGTCCCCAGCTCCGCTTCCCCCCACCTCACGTCCCCTTTCTTCTGTCCCTGTACCCCATTTTTCCCTTTTTTTCTCTACCCCCTTTTTTTTGTTCTCTGCTGTCCCCTATTCCCTTTTTCCTCTTTGCTCTCTCTCTCCTTTCTTCCCCCTCATCCTGTTACAGAAGAGAGTGAAGGAATGATGGACAAGCTGGTGCAGGATGGCATAGCAGGGTGGCAGCCCAGGTGGGTGCGATGATGCCCGGGGTGGGACTGGGTGGAGCCAGAGCCCTGCCTGAGCTCATTTAAGGGCTGGGAATGGCAGGGCTCAGATGTGTGCCTGGGCTTCTGGTGTCAGTGAGGTTGGGTGAGCAGTGAGGTTTGGGAGGGACCGAGTTGTTGGCCTTGAGATTGATGCCCAGCTCCTTGCTCGTCGCATTCTGTTTGGCTCGAGGTTCCGGACACGGCTTGGTCTTCTAAGCAGCGTGAGGACTGCCAGAAAGACTTTGTTGGATGCAGCAGGAAAGCACAGCCGCTGGTGGATGCCAGTGTCCGCTCCTGAGGCTCTGCGCCAAGGTACGTGGATCCCTGCCATCTCCTGTTTCACACGCTCGCTGAGGTCCTTTGGGGCTTGGTGTCGCTTGTCCCTCGTGCTCTCGTTGCTGTCACCGGGTGTTGTTCCTTTCCCCACGCTCAGTTCTGCCCTGTGCTGATGGGATGCCAATGCCACCTGCTGCTCTTAATAAAAGGTAGGTTTGATTTCTTTTGGTTTCCATAGCATTTGCTACACTTTCATTCTGTCTCACTTCTTTTTTTTTGTTTGTTTTTTCTTTTTGCTCTCAATAAATGGCAGGTTCAATTCATTTTGGCTCCTGTAGTGTTTGCTACACGTGTGTTCTGTTTCTCTTCTCTTTTTTCCATGTTGCCTGGCGGTGCCTGGCTGGAGTTCCCATGAGCCCCGGGCCCACTTGTGACCAAGTGAGGTGCCAAAAACAGAGGTATCTCCTAAACAGGCTTGTGCTGAGTGCTGTCCTCGTCTTGGGCTTTGTCCAATGCCCACCTTTCTTTTCTAGCCCACTTTGTTGAGGACGGCGTGTGAGGCTTTCTTCTTTCTTTGTAGGATTGGCGACTCCAGCACCACAAGTAGCAGGCATTTTGGGATGTCCAAGGTTCCGTAGTGAACGTGTCCTGTTCCTGGTAAAGGTGTGGGCGTTCCTGGACACGAAGGTATCTATCTTCCTGCCTTGCCCATGTGCCCAGTCCCCCACCAGATGCTGTTTGCCTTTTGGCCCCCCTGATTTGCTGTACTGCTGCGCCCTGATCCTTGCAGAGGGGTAAGTGACACCTTTGTCCCTTCCAGAAAGCGCTCTCCACTTTCCTCTCGTTGGTCACCGGCAGCGCCGTCCTTCTCTCGCCAGGCTCTCATTGGTCACCGGCAGTGCCGTCCCGCCCTCATGTGTCTCTCATTGGTGATCGACAGCACCGTCCCGCCCTATCAGCATCTCATTGGTCATCGACAGCTCCATCCCGCCTCCGCCAGCATCTCATTGGACAGCAGCAGCCTTTTGCCCGCCTTTTGCCCGCCTTTTGCCCGCCTTTTGCCCGCCTTTTGCCCGCCTTTTGCCCGCCTTTTGCCCGCCTTTTGCCCGCCTTTTGCCCGCCTTTTGCCCGCCTTTTGCCCGCCTTTTGCCCGCCTTTTGCCCGCCTTTTGCCCGCCTTTTGCCCGCCTTTTGCCCGCCTTTTGCCCGCCTTTTGCCCGCCTTTTGCCCGCCTTTTGCCCGCCTTTTGCCCGCCTTTCTCTTCACCTTCCCCCGGCCCCTTTTCCCCTTTCCTCTTCTTTCTTCTCATGTCCTGTTTTTTCCTTCCAGGTTCCTTTTTACTCTCCCTTGCCCCCTTTTATCTCCCTGTTTTTTGCCCATTTTTCCCCCTCTTCTCCTCTCTCCTTTTCTCCTCCTCGTCTCCTTTTCTTTTTCCTCCCTTTCTCATTCTTCTTTTCCCCTTTCCCCTCTTGTCTTCCTTTCCCTTTGGCCCCCTTTACTCTCCTCTTCTTCGCCCCCTTCTTCTTCTTTTTGCCCTCATCCCCACTTCCCCTTTCACCCCCTTTACCCCTTTTCCTCCCCATCTCCCTTTTCTCCCCGTCCCCCTTTTTTGTTTTCCTTTTCCTCTTTTTCTCCCCCTTCCTTCCTTTCCCCCCCCCCCTCGGCCCCATTCCTTTTTCCTTCCCCATCGTCCCCTTTTCTTCCAAAGCCCATTCCATTCCCAGTGCGATAGCGGCTCCTGCGCGCAGCCGAGCCCCGAGCAGCAGCGCTGCGTCTTGGCTCCCCCATTGCCCGCTGCTGAGCTCTTCCTGCCCTGGCTCCTCATTGGCTGAGCGCTGCAGCTTCCCCTTTCTGGCGACGCTTCACCACTCGCACAAACAGCCAGCAGACGCACATCTTTGCTGCCCAAACACACACAGGCCTTCATTGCTTCATTGCTTTCTCACCACTGCTCTCTTAACCAACGTGCGGTCGGAACTTGCGGCTCTCAGGTTTTCAGTATCAACACAGACACAGCCTCTGAATTGCTTCATTCCCCCCTGCCATTCGTGCCCTTCCCGCTGCTCGTCGTTCTGCTCATCCGTCAGTCCTTCCGCAGTGCTGAGCTCGGCAGGAGGACAGAGGGGAGCAGCTGGGAGCCTCACAGCCTCCTCGCGTTCCCATGCAGCGGGACAGCACTGCTGCGTGCGACGGCCCTGATTCCTCCCTCGTCCCCCTTTTCCTTTTTTTCCTCCCTCGTCCCCCTTTTCCTTTTTTCCTTCTCATGCACTTCCTGCTATCCCGCCTTATCCCCGCCTTCCCTCATCTCTTCTTGCACTCTTTGACCCCTTTTTCTCCCCGCATCCTTATTTCTCTTCACATTCTCCTGTTCTTTTTTCCCCTTTCCTCTTCTTCGTCCCCAGCTCCGCTTCCCCCCACCTCACGTCCCCTTTCTTCTGTCCCTGTACCCCATTTTTCCCTTTTTTTCTCTACCCCCTTTTTTTTGTTCTCTGCTGTCCCCTATTCCCTTTTTCCTCTTTGCTCTCTCTCTCCTTTCTTCCCCCTCATCCTGTTACAGAAGAGAGTGAAGGAATGATGGACAAGCTGGTGCAGGATGGCAGCAGCAGGGTGGAAGCCCAGGTGGGTGCGATGAAGCCCGGGGTGGGACTGGGTGGAGCCAGAGCCCTGCCTGAGCTCATTTAAGGGCTGGGAATGGCAGGGCTCAGATGTGTGCCTGGGCTTCTGGTGTCAGTGAGGTTGGGTGAGCAGTGAGGTTTGGGAGGGACCGAGTTGTTGGCCTTGAGATTGATGCCCAGCTCCTTGCTCGTCGCATTCTGTTTGGCTCGAGGTTCCGGACACGGCTTGGTCTTCTAAGCAGCGTGAGGACTGCGAGAAAGACTTTGTTGGATGCAGCAGGAAAGCACAGCCGCTGGTGGATGCCAGTGTCCGCTCCTGAGGCTCTGCGCCAAGGTACGTGGATCCCTGCCATCTCCTGTTTCACACGCTCGCTGAGGTCCTTTGGGGCTTGGTGTCGCTTGTCCCTCGTGCTCTCGTTGCTGTCACCGGGTGTTGTTCCTTTCCCCACGCTCAGTTCTGCCCTGTGCTGATGGGATGCCAATGCCACCTGCTGCTCTTAATAAAAGGTAGGTTTGATTTCTTTTGGTTTCCATAGCATTTGCTACACTTTCATTCTGTCTCACTTCTTTTTTTTTTTGTTGTTTTTTCTTTTTGCTCTCAATAAATGGCAGGTTCAATTCATTTTGGCTCCTGTAGTGTTTGCTACACGTGTGTTCTGTTTCTCTTCTCTTTTTTCCATGTTGCCTGGCGGTGCCTGGCTGGAGTTCCCATGAGCCCCGGGCCCACTTGTGACCAAGTGAGGTGCCAAAAACAGAGGTATCTCCTAAACAGGCTTGTGCTGAGTGCTGTCCTCGTCTTGGGCTTTGTCCAATGCCCACCTTTCTTTTCTAGCCCACTTTGTTGAGGACGGCGTGTGAGGCTTTCTTCTTTCTTTGTAGGATTGGCGACTCCAGCACCACAAGTAGCAGGCATTTTGGGATGTCCAAGGTTCCGTAGTGAACGTGTCCTGTTCCTGGTAAAGGTGTGGGCGTTCCTGGACACGAAGGTATCTATCTTCCTGCCTTGCCCATGTGCCCAGTCCCCCACCAGATGCTGTTTGCCTTTTGGCCCCCCTGATTTGCTGTACTGCTGCGCCCTGATCCTTGCAGAGGTGTAAGTGACACCTTTGTCCCTTCCAGAAAGCGCTCTCCACTTTCCTCTCGTTGGTCACCGGCAGCGCCGTCCTTCTCTCGCCAGGCTCTCATTGGTCAGCGGCAGTGCCGTCCCGCCCTCATGTGTCTCTCATTGGTGATCGACAGCACCGTCCCGCCCTATCAGCATCTCATTGGTCATCGAAAGCTCCATCCCGCCTCCGCCAGCATCTCATTGGACAGCAGCAGCCTTTTGCCCGCCTTTTGCCCGCCTTTTGCCCGCCTTTTGCCCGCCTTTTGCCCGCCTTTTGCCCGCCTTTTGCCCGCCTTTTGCCCGCCTTTTGCCCGCCTTTTGCCCGCCTTTTGCCCGCCTTTTGCCCGCCTTTTGCCCGCCTTTTGCCCGCCTTTTGCCCGCCTTTTGCCCGCCTTTTGCCCGCCTTTTGCCCGCCTTTTGCCCGCCTTTTGCCCGCCTTTTGCCCGCCTTTCTCTTCACCTTCCCCCAGCCCCTTTTCCCCTTTCCTCTTCTTTCTTCTCATGTCCTGTTTTTTCCTTCCAGGTTCCTTTTTACTCTCCCTTGCCCCCTTTTATCTCCTTTTTTTTTTGCCCATTTTTCCCCCTCTTCTCCTCTCTCCTTTTCTCCTCCTCGTCTCCTTTTCTTTTTCCTCCCTTTCTCATTCTTCTTTTCCCCTTTCCCCTCTTGTCTTCCTTTCCCTTTGGCCCCCTTTACTCTCCTCTTCTTCGCCCCCTTCTTCTTCTTTTTGCCCCTATCCCCACTTCCCCTTTCACCCCCCTTTACCCCTTTTCCTCCCCATCTCCCTTTTCGCCCGATACCTTTTTTTTGTTTTCCTTTTCTACTTTTTCTCCCCCTTCCTTCCTTTCCCCCCCCCCTCGGCCCCATTCCTTTTTCCTTCCCCATAGTCCCCTTTTCTTCCAAAACCCATTCCATTCGCACTGCGATAGCGGCTCCTGAGAGCAGCCGAGCCCCGAGCAGCAGCGCTGCGTCTTGGCTCCCCCATTGCCCGCTGCTGAGCTCTTCCTGCCCTGGCTCCTCATTGGCTGAGCGCTGCAGCTTCCCCTTTTTGGCGACGCTTCACCACTCGCACAAACAGCCAGCAGACGCACATCTTTGCCGCCCAAACACACGCAGGCCTTCATTGCTTCATTGCTTTCTCACCACTGCTCTCTTAACCAACGTGCGGTCGGAACTTGCGGCTCTCAGGTTTTCAGCATCAACACAGACACAGCCTCTGAATTGCTTCATTCCCCCCTGCCATTCGTGCCCTTCCCGCTGCTCGTCGTTCTGCTCATCCGTCAGTCCTTCCGCAGTGCTGAGCTCGGCAGGAGGACAGAGGGGAGCAGCTGGGAGCCTCACGGCCTCCTCACGTTCCCACGCAGCGGAGCAGCGCTGCTGCGTGCGACGGCCCTGATTCCTCCCTCGTCCCCCTTTTCCTTTTTTTCCTCCCTCGTCCCCCTTTTCCTTTTGTTCCTCCCTCGTCCCCCTTTTCCTTTTTTCCTTCTCATGCACTTCCTGCTATCTTGCCTTATCCCCGCCTTCCCTCATCTCTTCTTGCACTCTTTGACCCCTTTTTCTCCCCCCATCCTTATTTCTCTTCACTTTCTCCTGTTCTTTTTTCCCCTTTCCTCTTCTTCGTCCCCAGCTCCGCTTCCCCCCACCTCACGTCCCCTTTCTTCTGTCCCTGTACCCCATTTTTCCCTTTTTTTCCCCACCCCCTTTTTTTGTTCTCTGCTGTCCCCTATTCCCTTTTTCCTCTTTGCTCTCTCTCTCCTTTCTTCCCCCTCATCCTGTTACAGAAGAGAATGAAGGAATGATGGACAAGCTGGTGCAGGATGGCAGCAGCAGGGTGGAAGCACAGGTGTGTGCGACGAAGCCGGGGGTGGGACTGGGTGGAGCCCGAGCCCAGCCTGAGCTCATTAAAGGCTGGGAATGGCAGGGCTCAGATGTGTGCCTGGGCTTCTGGTGTCAGTGAGGTTGGGTGAGCAGTGAGGTTTGGGAGGGACCGAGTTGTTGGCCTTGAGATTGATGCCCAGCTCCTTGCTCGTCGCATTCTGTTCGGCTCGAGGTTCCGGACACGGCTTGGTCTTCTAAGCAGCGTGAGGACTGCGAGAAAGACTTTGTTGGATGCAGCAGGAAAGCACAGCCGCTGGTGGATGCCAGTGTCCGCTCCTGAGGCTCTGCGCCAAGGTACGTGGATCCCTGACATCTCCTGTTTCACACGCTCGCTGAGCTCCTCGGGGCTTGGTCTTGGTTGTCCCTCGTGCTCCCGTTGCTGTCACCGGGTGTTGTTCCTTTCCCCATGCTCAGTTCTGCCCAGTGCTGATGGGATGTCAGTGCCACCTGCTGCTCTCCATGAACTGCAGGTTCAATTCCTTTTGGCTTGCACAGCATTTGCTACTCTTTTGTTCTGTCTCGCTTCTCTTTTTTCCATGTTGCCTGCTGGCGCCTCGCTGGAGTTCCCTGGACGCCACTGCACACTTCGGACCAAGTGAGATGCAGATGAAGAGGTAGGCTCCTGAACAGGCTGCTGCTGAGTGCTGTCCTTGACCTGGGGTTTGTACCATTCCCACCCTTCGTTGCTAAGCCACTTTGTTCAGTAGTGCGAGTGAAGCTTTCTTCTTTCTTTCTTTTTTTCTAGGATAGGTGACTCCTGTAGCAGATGCAGCAGGCATCTTGGGCTGCCCAATCTTCTGCACTGAAGGTGTCCTGTTCCTGGTAAAGGTGTGGGCGTTCCTGGACGTGAAGATATCTTCATGCGTTTTCCGATGTGCCCAGTCCCCCACCTGATACTGTTGGCCTTCGGGGCTCCGCTGAGTTGCTGCATTGGCAGCAGATAACTGCTGGTTTGACTGCCTTAAGGGCTGCCAGGAAAGATGTCTTGTGCAAAACCCCTGAGCTACCAACTGCCAAGCAAGTTGGTATGTTCCCAGGAATGACAGGAAGCAGACCATGGATGCGCAGCTACGGGATGTTGGTAAAGCCCAATCTCCTCTATCTTTCCCTTTTCCATCTCCATTTCCTCTCCATCCTCATTCCGCTTTATCCCCTTTTCCTCCGCAACCCCGTTTCCCCCCTCTTTCTCCCCCCTTTATCTCCCCCGTCTTTCTCCCCTGCCTTTGCCCCATTTCTCTTCACCTTCCCCTCTCTCCTTTTCCCCTGTCTCTTTCCTTGTCCTCAGGTCCCCTTTTTTTCTGTCCATTCCCCCCTTTTATCTCCCCTTTTATGCCCCCTTTTCCCCTGCTCTCCTCCATTCTCCTTTTCCACCTCTTCTCCTCTCTACTTTCCTATTCCTCATCTCCTTTTCTTTTTCCTCCCCCCCTCATTCTCCTTTTCCCCTTTCCCCCCCTTGTCTTCCTTTCCCCTTTTCCTTTTTCTCCCTCATCTTTTTTCCCCCCGTTCTTCTTCTTTTTCCCCCATCCCCACTTCCCCTTTCACCCCCTTTACCCCTTTTCCTCCCCATCTCCCTTTTTGCCCCGTCCCCCTTTTCCCATTTTCTTTTTCCCCTCCTCATCCCCATTCCTTTTTCCTTCCCCATAGTCCCCTTTTCTTCCCAAAGCCGATACCGCTCGCAGTGCGATGGCGGCTCCTGCCAGCAGCAGAGCCCCGAGCACCAGCGCTGCATCTTGGCTCCCCCATTGCCCGCTGCTGAGCTCTTCCTGCCCTGGCTCCTCACTGGCTGAGCGCTGCAGCTTCCCCTTTTTTTGGCGATGCTTCACCACTTGCACAAACAGCCAGCAGACGCACATCTTTGCCGCCCAAACACACGCAGGCCTTCATTGCTTCATTGTCTTCTCACCACTGCTCTCTTAAGCAACGTGCGGTCGGAACTTGCGGCTCTCAGGTTTTCAGCATCAAAACAGGCACAGCCTCTGAATTGGTTCCTTCCCCTCTGCCATTCGTGACCTTCCCACTGCTCGTCGTTCTGCTCATCCGGCAGTCCTTCCGCAGCGTTGAGCTCGGCAGGAGGACAGAGGGAGCAGCTGGGAGCCTCACGGCCTCCTCCCGTTCCCACGCAGTGGAACAGCGCTGCTGCATGCGACAGCCCTGATTCCTCCCTCGTTGCCCTTTTCCTTTTTTTTCCTCCCTCGTCGCCCTTTTCCTTTTTATCCTCCCTCATCCCACTATTCCTTTTGTCCTTCTCATGCACTTCCTACTATCCCGCCTTTTCCCCGTTTTCCCTCATCTCTTCTTGCACTCTTTGACCCCATTTTCTCCCCCCCATCCTTATTTCTCTTCACTTTCTCCTGTTCTTTTTTTCCCCTTTCCTCTTTTTCATCCCTAGCTCCGCTTCCCCCCACCTCACGTCCCCTTTCTTCTGTCCCTGTACCCTGTATGTTGTCAGCAACTGCGAAATTGCGAGACCCCCCCGCGGGGTCTGATGTGCTAAGCTCCCTCCCTGCTCTAATGATTGATGTGTGATGTAGGCCCCTAGGGGCGTAGACGAAGTGATTAGGCTATATAAGGTAGTTAATACGTGTAATAAATGCCATTTTACTGCTCATCATATTGGTGTCACCTCGGTAATTGGCCAAGCTGCGGTCTCCTGGGGAAGCGGAACGGGCGCGTATTGTAACAAGTGGTGACCCCGACCGACGTGATCCCTGGGAGTGAGTCAGCTGTCTGCCAGAAGCAGGAACCCACTGCAGTAGCGGTAAATTCAAATCTGCGGAATAGTGGAAGCCCGGGGACGGGGAGGTGGTGGCCATTACTCCTCGTCAGGCGGGAGGCTCGGGAAAAGGAGCCAAGATCCCCCTAGGACGCTAGGGGAAAGACGCCAGAAGAGGCCAGGTGTACGCTCGGCCGGAGGCGTTATAGAAGCCATTATAAAGGTGATTTTACATGCATGCAAAATTTATTGCGGGAAAAATGTTCCTTCTAAGAAGGAGATTTCGGCGACACTTTCGTTGCTGGAGAAAGAGGGGCTATTATCATCCCCTTCTGACTTATATGATTCTGATAAATGGGATTCGTTTACTGCCGCTCTCTCACAGAGGGCAATGCTTACTCAGAAAGCAGCAGAGTTTAAGGTGTGGGGATTGATTTTAATAGCTCTTAAGAAAGCAAAGGAGGAGAAGATCGCAGGTGACCGTGCTAAGGAGCTTCTGGGGTTAGGGCCGGGGGGGGTCTTGTCTCCCCTACAGATTCGCCGGAGGGCAAGATGGTGCTGACTCCTTCGGCCCCACCAGAAACAACAACCCTGGAGATAAAGAAGAACGAAGTGAAGCAGGAGCGGTCATACCATAAAGAGGAGGACCCACCTCCATACCCGGCTCACAGCATATATCCTTCACTTAAGCCCTGTAAAGATAACGGGGAAGGGGGGCAGGTGGAGGAAAGCGGTACAACTTCTAGTACAGTTGATAAGAGGGTCCTTGAGGAAGGAGAGATGTCTGGGGGAGCTGTGATACGACCTGTGGAATGCGACAGTGGGGGCGGGACTCACCTACTGTCCGATTCTGCCTGCTGCTGCGGCCACCCCCCACGGGGCGTGGATTGTCCCGCGTCTGCCCAGGAGGGGCGTGGTCCCATATCGACAGCTTCATGGGGCCCTCCTACCCTCGCTGATTGGGCTCGAGTGAGGGAGGACATACAGGCTGCAGACCCAGCAGGTGTCGCTCTCACTTTGCCGGTGGTGATGAGACCAGAAGATCCAGCTTGGATTCCTCTGGATTCCAAAGCGGTTACTCGTCTTGCGGATTTAGTTAAGAGCAAAGGCCTGCGTTCCCCTGTCACTATGGCAGCAGTGGAAGCTCTTATGGCTTCTAGTCTTTTGCCATATGATGTGGTGAACCTTATGCATGTTATTCTTGAGCCCGTACAATACACCCTGTGGCATGATGAATGGGATAGATTACTTCAAGCTGTGGTGGCTGCCGCCACCCATGACCCCCGCCATCCAGCCAACGGCCAGCGCAGAGGCGATAGAACTAATCTTGCACGTCTTCAGGGCCGGGCAGATGGAATGGTGGGATCCCCGGAGGGCCAAGCAGCGATGCTCAGAGCAGGAGAGCTGGCAGCCGTTACAGCTGCAGCTCTTCAAGCCCTGCGAGAATTAGCTAAGGTTGCGGAACCTGTGCTTCCGTGGGCAGACATAAAGCAGGGCCTCTCTGAGTCATTTTCTGATTTTGCGAATCGTCTAATTCATGCAGTGGAGGGATCTGATCTCCCAAGGGAGGTCCAATCCGCAGTCATAATGGAATGTCTTAAGCAGAAATCATTGCCAGACATCCAGCAAATCATCAGAGCGGCACCGGGCACCCTAACTTCCCCAGGGGAGCTTATTAAGTATGTGTTACATCATCGAAAGGTCGCACCATTAACTAATGAGGGATTAGCAGCCGCCATGCAAGGAATGGCTACTTCGGTTAATTCTGCAGTTAAGACCGCGATAATGGCAGTCACTCAGGCTGGGGGAGGAAAGGATAAAGGCCCGTGTTTTAGATGTGGGCAGCGTGGCCATTTCAAGGCGCAGTGCCCTATAAGGATGGGGCAAGGACTAGAGAAGCGGTGCCAATTCTGTGGCGGAGCCGGACATGTCGCACGTCAGTGCATTGCTGTTTGGAACTCGTCAAGAGAAAACACCAAACCCACGACCGAAGCCAAAGCCCGACTCAGGAAAGGAGGCAGATAAAGAGCCACTGATAACGTCGAGATCAATCTCTCCTGTGTTGTTATCTGTGTGTCTTTTGCTATTTACAGCTATTTCTCCTGGAGAGGGCATAACAGACAGTGACTTATGGCATGGTCATGAAGAATATACAGGAATGATGGGACCAGTGAATAACTTAACTTTGCTGACCGTAGTGTTACGTGAAAATAGACCATATGACAGAAGTGAATGGGGATGGGATAATGTCACCAGATCTCCTCGAATTTGGGGTAAACTTGGGCAAAATATAGAAGTAAAATGTTGGATGGTAAATGGATCTCAATATAAGAAGGCTACTCAAATTTCAAAAACAGATATTATATCAGGCGTAAGGGATCGCAAATCCTGTGTTACTGAACAGGGAGATTGTCGGTATAATTTCACCCTAACCCAACCTGTAATGATAACGTGCCTTTGGACACAAGACACCTTAGGACGATCTTTAAATTTAAGGTGGATCTCTTTAATCAACATACAACTGATGTCCCATATATAACTCCCACTAGGAGACTGAAGGGTGTTATCTCTCCACAAATTTATCAGATTGGACCGTACGCTATAAAGAATACAGGTCAGCAACAGGTAATCTTTAATCCAACATGGTCCCTTAAACGAGTGATGTTATTATTGCAAACTAATGTTTCAGCTATCAAACCAGATTGTACATTGTTTTTAGGCATGTCATATGCTGGATGGTCAGCATGGCTTCATCGACAGTCATTTGATACAACTAGAAGAATAAGAAGAGATGTTTCCGGTATTCTGGGAACAGGTTTAGGAGTCTTAAATAGTATAGACACTGAAATACTCATGAGTAAATTGAATACCATTACAAGTAATATACATAAACTACAACATCCTCTACAGTCATCCCTATCGGCTCTAGGAACAAGTCAATGGCTTTTATCAGATGTATTACCGCAATGGGAAAGGATAGATAGAAAAGATCATCAGCTGATTATGGATGCGCTTTCAGCAGTCCAAGGTAACACCTCTTTAGCCCTCAGTTGCATCCAGGCCCAGATGTGGATGCAATTTATAGCAGCAACAATCGTGAGAGAAGGTGAGGATGGCACTATACCCACTGAAATTAGAAAAGTAATTTGGGACAATGCAAATAGATTTGAAAGGAAGTTTCAATCATGGTGGCATTTAGTTAACTTCACCTATGACCCTGTCACCAATTATGCCATGGCTTTTGTTTTGACGATAAGTAATGCTTCAGCATACACGATATATCCAATCGTAGCTCTAGGATTAAATCATGATGAGACTACTCTGTATCCAATTGAACATCGGATATGGGCTCTTCAAAAGAATGAGAAATGGCAAACTGTGGACGTTAGCTCATGTGCCATGCGAGAACAACGAGGATTTATTTGTGAAAGTAATATATTTGAGACTCAAGATATCTGTCTTGACACTGAACAAAATATCTGTCACTTTGAGGTCCAACCTGGTAGGATGTTCAAATCAATGCTTGTATATATTGGAAAAGGATGTGCTTGCATCAGAACTCATTGCAATTCCATACAAATAGGGGATATGATTGTGGATACTACCAATCATTCAAATCTTTGTGTTTGTAATTTTATTAATATTTTAGGATGTGATTTTAACTATACAGTTCCTATAATTTCATATCAGCTTCTGCAGTCCAACTACACTCTGATCAAAGATTTGCGTCCAGCGCTAATTGGGATGAATCTCGCCTTAGTAAGGAAGCTTCTACAACATGATGATCTGCATCGACTATTAAATCGCATCAAAGATAACGGACAAAAGACCTTAATCACCATTCATCATGACGTGAAAGAGATACATCGTGTCTTGGAGAGAGTAATGAAGGCTGGAGAACATCACTGGTGGGAGGTTCTTTTTGGTTGGTCTCCCACAGCAACGGGAATATTCAACTTTATACTGCATCCGGTAGTTGTTATATTAGGTTTAATATTATTATGCTTAGTTCTTATAGTTATATTATATATAAAGACATGGCGCTTGCTAAAGCAAGTGTCCCAGCTTGATTTAGTGTTAAATAGGGATACACTGCATCGTTTCTTGTAAGATTTATTTTAAGGCTAATAGACGGTTGTAACGTTAAGGTAGAATTTATATAAGATTTTAAGATATAAGATTTTAAGATTTTAGGATTATTAAGTTAAATAGGTTGTTATTAAGTTGATAGATTATAGGCTATTAGGATAGGATGTTTTGCGAATCGGGTTGTAACGGGGCAAGGCTTAACCGAGAGGACAATGGCACGTATAGGCGCAAAGCGGGGATTTCGGGGTGTACGCGGGTAGGGTCCTCTCGAGTTGCAGTTTGCTTTTTTGAGCATGGAGAGGGGGAGATGTTGTCAGCAACAGCGAAATTGCGAGACCCCCCCGCGGGGTCTGATGTGCTAAGCTCCCTCCCTGCTCTAATGATTGATGTGTGATGTAGGCCCCTAGGGGCGTAGACGAAGTAATTAGGCTATATAAGGTAGTTAATACGTGTAATAAACGCCATTTTACTGCTCATCATACTGGTGTCACCTCGGTAATTGGCCAAGCTGCGGTCTCCTGGGGAAGCGGAACGGGCGCGTACTGCAACACCTGTACCCCATTTTTCCTTTTTTTCTTTCCCCACGCCCTTTTTCTCTTGGTTTTTCTCTGCTGTCCCCTATTCCCTTTTTCCTCTTCCCCCTCTCTCCTTTCTTCCCCCTCATCCTGTTACAGAAGAGAGTGAAGGAATGATGGACAAGCTGGTGCAGGGTGGCAGCAGCAGGGTGGAAGCCCAGGTGGGCTACCCTCCCTCGTCCCCCTATTCCTTTTGTCCTTCTCATGCACTTCCTACTATCCCACCTTTTCCCCGCCTTCCCTCATCTCTTCTTGCACTCTTTGACCCCATTTTCTCCCCCCCATCCTTATTTCTCTTCACATTCCCCTGTTCTTTTTTCCCCTTTCCTTTTCTTCATTTCCAGGTCCGCTTCCCCCCCCACCTCACGTCCCCTTTCTTCTGTCCCTGTACCCTGTACCCCATTTTTCCTTTTTTTCTTTCCCCACGCAATTTTTCTCTTGGTTTTTCTCTGCTGTCCCCTATTCCCTTTTTCCTCTTTGCTCTCTCTCTCCTTTCTTCCCCCTCACCCTGTTACAGAAGAGAGTGAAGGGATGATGGACAAGCTGGACAAGATGGTGCAGGATGGCAGCAGCAGGGTGGAAGCCCAGGTGGATGCGATGAAGCCCGGGGTGGGACTGGGTGGAGCCAGAGCCCTGCCTGAGCTCATTTAAGGGCTGGGAATGGCAGGGCTCAGATGTGTGCCTGGGCTTCTGGTGTCAGTGAGGTTGGGTGAGCAGTGAGGTTTGGGAGGGACCAAGTTGTTGGCCTTGAGATTGATGCCCAGCTCCTTGCTCGTCGCATTCTGTTTGGCTCGAGGTTCCGGACACGGCTTGGTCTTCTAAGCAGCGTGAGGACTGCGAGAAAGACTTTGTTGGATGCAGCAGGAAAGCACAGCCGCTGGTGGATGCCAGTGTCCGCTGCTGAGGCTCTGCGCCAAGGTACGTGGATCCCTGCCATCTCCTGTTTCACACGCTCGCTGAGGTCCTTTGGGGCTTGGTGTCGCTTGTCCCTCGTGCTCACGTTGCTGTCACCGGGTGTTCTTCCTCTCCCCATGCTCAGTTCTTCCCAAGTGCTGATTGGATGCCTGTGCCACCTGCTGCTCTTAATAAAAGGTAGGTTTGATTTCTTTTGGTTTCCATAGCATTTGCTACACTTTCCTTCTGTCTCTCTTCTTGTTCTTTTTTCTTTTTGCTCTCAATAAATGGCAGGTTCAATTCATTTTGGCTCCTGTAGTGTTTGCTACACGTGTGTTCTGTTTCTCTTCTCTTTTTTCCATGTTGCCTGGCGGTGCCTCGCTGGAGTTCCCATGACCCCCGGGCCCACTTGTGACCAAGTGAGGTGCCAAAAAAAGAGGCATCTCCTAAACAGGCTTGTGCTGAGTGCTGTCCTCGTCTTGGGGTTTGTCCAATGCCCACCTTTCTTTTCTAACCCACTTTGTTGAGGACGGCGTGTGAGGCTTTCTTCTTTCTTTGTAGGATTGGCGACTCCACCACCAGAAGTAGCAGGCATTTTGGGATGTCCAAGGTTCCGTAGTGAACGTGTCCTGTTCCTGGTAAAGGTGTGGGCGTTCCTGGACACGAAGGTATCTATCTTCCTGCCTTGCCCATGTGCCCAGTCCCCCACCAGATGCTGTTTGCCTTTTGGCCCCCCTGATTTGCTGTACTGCTGCGCCCTGATCCTTGCAGAGGGGTAAGTGACACCTTTGTCCCTTCCAGAAAGCGCTCTCCACTTTCCTCTCGTTGGTCATCGGCAGCACCGTCTCTCTCTTGCCAGGCTCTCATTGGTCACCGGCAGCGCCGTCCCGCCCTTGTCAGCCTCTCATTGGTCTTCAGCAGTGCCGTTCCGCACTCACCAGCCTGTAATTGGTCATCAGCAGTGCCATCTTGCCCACATTGCCTCTCATTGGTCATCAACAGCTCCGTCCCGCCCCCGCATGCCTCTCATTGGTCATCAGCAGCGCCGTCCCGCCCCCATGTACCTCTCATTTGTCACCGGCAGTGCCATCCCACCTTCACGTGCCTCTCATTGGTCATCAGCAGCGCTGTCCCGTCCTCGCTAGTCTTTCATTGACCTTGGGCAGCTCCGTCCCACCTCCGCCAGCATCTCATTGGACAGCAGCAGCCTTTTCCCCTTCGCCTTTTCCCCTTCGCCTTTTGCCCGTCGCCTTTTCCCCTTCGCCTTTTCCTTGTTCTCATGTCCTGTTTTTTCCTTCCTGGTCCCCTTTTTACTGTCCATTCCCCCCTTTTATCTCCCCTCTTTTTACCCCTTTTTCCCCCTGTTCTCCTCTGTCCTTTTCTCCTCCTCATCTCCTTTTCTTTTTCCTCCCTTTCTCATTCTTCTTTTCCCCTTTCCCCTCTTGTCTTCCTTTCCCTTTTGCCCCCTTTACTCTCCTCTTCTTCGCCCCCTTCTTCTTCTTTTTGCCCCCATCCCCACTTCCCCTTTCAATCCCTTTACCCCTTTTCCTCCCCATCACCCTTTTCGCCCGATCCCCTTTTTTTGTTTTCCTTTTCCTCTTTTTCTCCCCCTTCCCTTCCCCCCCCCCCCCTCGGCCCCATTCCTTTTTCCTTCCCCATCGTCCCCTTTTCTTCCAAAGCCCATTCCATTCCCAGTGCGATAGCGGCTCCTGCGCGCAGCCGAGCCCCGAGCAGCAGCGCTGTGTCTTGGCTCCCCCATTGCCCGCTGCTGAGCTCTTCCTGCCCTGGCTCCTCATTGGCTGAGCGCTGCAGGTTCCCCTTTTTGGCAACACTTCACCACTCGCACAGCCAGCAGACGCACATCTTTGCTGCCCAAACACACCCAGGCATTCATTGCTTCATTGTTTTCTCACCACTGCTCTCTTAACCAACGTGCGGTCGGAACTTGCGGCTCTCAGGTTTTCAGCATCAACACAGACACAGCCTCTGAATTGCTTCATTACCCCCTGCCATTCGTGCCCTTCCCGCTGCTCGTTTTTCTGCTCATCCGTCAGTCCTTCCGCAGCGCTGAGCTCGGCAGGAGGACAGAGGGGAGCAGCTTTGAGACTCACAGCCTCCTCGCGTTCCCATGCACCGGGACAGCGCTGCTGCATGCGACAGCCCTGATTCCTCCCTCGTCCCCCTTTTTCCTCCTTCGTCCCCCTTTTCCTTTTTTTCCTCCCTCGTCGCCCTTTTCCTTTTGTCCTTCTCATGTACTTCCTGCTATCCCGCCTTTTCCCCGCCTTCCCTCATCGCTTCTTGCGCTCTTTGCCCCCTTTTTCTCCCCTCATCCTTTTTTCTCTTCGCATTCCCCTGTTCTTTTTTCCCCTTTCCTCTTCTTCATCCCCAGCTCCGCTTCCCCCCGACCTCACGTCCCCTTTCTTCTGTCCCTGTACCCCATTTTTCCCTTTTTTTCCCCACCCCCTTTTTTTGTTCTCTGCTGTCCCCTATTCCCTTTTTCCTCTTTGCTTTCTCTCTCCTTTCTTCCCCCTCATCCTGTTACAGAAGAGAGTGAAGGAATGATGGACAAGCTGGTGCAGGATGGCAGCAGCAGGGTGGAAGCCCAGGTGGGTGCTATGAAGCCGGGGGTGGGACTGGGTGGAGCCCGAGCCCTGCCTGAGCTCATTTAAGGGCTGGGAATGGCAGGGCTCAGATGTGTGCCTGGGCTTCTGGTGTCAGTGAGGTTGGGTGAGCAGTGAGGTTTGGGAGGGACCAAGTTGTTGGCCTTGAGATTGATGCCCAGCTCCTTGCTCATCGCATTCTGTTTGGCTCGAGGTTCCGGACACGGCTTGCTCTTCTAAGCAGCGTGAGGACTGCGAGAAAGACTTTGTTGGATGCAGCAGGAAAGCACAGCCGCTGGTGGATGCCAGTGTCCGCTCCTGAGGCTCCCACGCCCGACTCCAGAATCCCAGGGGTCGGCCTCGAGTCTCTCCTGAGGCTCTTTGCCACAAACTCCAAGTGGGACCGTTCTCTCCAGCAGCGGTATAGAGGATGTTCTTTATACCCTGTCCCGTCCGAACTGGCCCTAGGGCCACGGCACGGGCTATCTCCTGATTAATCTGTTCAAAAGCCTGCTGCTGCTCAGGGCCCCATGTAAACTCATTTCTCATTCGCAACACATAATAAAGGGGGCTTACAATGAGGCTATAGTTTGGAACATGCATTCTCCAAAAGCCCACTGCACCCAGAAAAGATTGTGTCTGTCTTTTGCTAGTGGGTGGAGACATAGCAGTGATTTTGTCGATCACATCTGTCGGGATGTGACGATGGCCATCTTGCCACTTTATGCCTAGGAACTGAATCTCCTGGGCAGGTCCTTTGGGCAGGTCCTTTCACTTTGCTTCGCTTAATAGCAAAACCAGCACTCAGAAGAATTTGGATCATTCGCTCTCCTTTCGTGAAGACTTCTTCTGCTGTATCGCCCCACTCAATGATATCATCAATGTACTGCAGGTGTTCAGGAGCACTGCCCTGTTCCAATACAGTTTGGATCAACCCATGGCAAATGGTCGGGTTGTGTTTCCACCCCTGGGGCAAACGGTTCCAGGTATACTGAACGCCCCTCCAGGTGAAAACAAACTGTGGCTTACATTCTTTGGCCAAAGGAATGGAAAAGAAGGCATTAGCAATGCCAATGGTGGCATACCATTTGGCCGCTTTTGACTCCAGTTCATACTGGAGTTCTAACATGTCCGGCACAGCAGCACTCAGTGGGGGTGTGACTTCGTTCAGGCCATGGTAGTCCACCGTCAGCCTCCATTCTCCACTGGCTTTACGCACTGGCCATATGGGGCTGTTAAAAGGCGAGTGAGTTTTGCTGATCACTCCCTGGCTCTCTAGCTGATGAATTAACTTATGAATGGGGAGCAAAGAATCCCTGTTGGTGCGGTACTGCCGCCTGTGCACTGTTTTTGTAGCAATCGGTACGTGTTGCTCTTTTACTCGCAGCAGCCCCACAACAGACGGATCTTCTGACAGGCCAGGCAAAACAGACAGCTGCTTAATGTTGTCTGTGTCCACAGCAGCTATTCCAAAGGCCCATCGATACCCCTTAGGATCCTTGAAATGCCCCCTTCTGAGACAATCAATACTTAGTATACATGGAGCCCCTGGGCCCGTCACAATAGGATGTTTTTGCCAGTCCTTACCAGTGAGGCTTATCTCAGCCTCCAACACAGTCAATTCTTGAGAGCCTCCTGTCATTCCAGAAATATGGATTGATTCTGTCCCTTCATGACTCGAGGGCATCAGAGTGCACTGTGCACCAGTGTCCACCAGTGCCTTATATTTCAGTGGTTCTGATGTGCCAGGCCATCGAATCCACACAGTCCAATATACTCTATTATCCCTTTCCCCCCCCTGACTGAGGGCAGGGCCCCTCTATTCATTACCTGTAGTAACTGGAGCAATTGCACTGGTGGTTGATCTGCTTTGTAATTCTTTCACCCGGGCTCGTAGTACAGGAGTAGGTTGACCGTGCCACTTCCCCATGTCTTCTCCATGGTCACATAGGTAATACTATAAGACAATTCGCGGTGTATTATCCCTTACTTGAGCCGGAGAGCGTTTGCCTCTAACAGCTATTTTTGATGGTGCACGTGGGAAGGAAGGTTCATTGTCTTTAGTTAGGTGGGCTTGCACAAATTTCATCATCTCCTTCACCTCCTTCACATCCTTCGCTAGACTCATTTGATTATCCTGATCTTCATCACGCGTCTCTGATACTGCTACAGGTTTGTCACGGTTAATCAGTGGAGACACTTGCTCCGTCATTTTTGATATAGCAGCCACGGCAGCATGAATTGGGGACAGCAATTGTTCGTAGTTTTGGAGCGTAACAATTAATTCATAAACTAAGGGCATTCTCTGTTGTTCGTTGTATCTGTCACACGCTGACATCAGTGTAGAGGCATATTTGTCCGGCGCTGCTGTCACGATTTTCTGCCATATCTCAGGCGTTGTCCTCACTTTTTCAGGTCGCGGTATGGATGGCTAGGAACAAAGTCAGGGTCATACAAAATTTCCACCACGCCTATTTCCCTCCAATACTGGATACCCTTTTCAACTGTATCCCATTTTTTCATTGCAATCTTCAAGCCATTTTTGAAGGGATACTTTTCCTTCACAGCTGTTAACACTCGCTCCCAGAGGGAGGCAGCCTCATCCGAACATCAACTAATTCCTCTATCAATAGCTGGATCTCTGGCAATGGCGCCTAGTTGGCGAGCTTCATTACCATCCAGAGACAAGCTATGGGCCCCACTGTCCCAACAGCGAACCAACCAGGAAACAAGAGTTTCATTTGGGCGCCGTGTAAACTCCTTTCTTGAACCTTGGATTTCAGTCATCTTTAGAGGCCGGCGAGTAGTAATAGAGACTTCCTCTTCATCACTCTCTTCTGCACGTCTCTTAGTTTTCCCTTTTGCCTTTCGCGATGGTGGTGGTTCTGAGGAGGGCCCCTCGCCTGGATCTTCCTCCACCTCCTCCTCCTCCTCTTCTCTTTTTCGTTCAAGACGCAAAGACATTCGTTTCCATTTCTTGCCCTCCACAGGAGCAACTGGTATTGTTACTGGTGTCTCCTGTGATTGATTAGATTTGACTTGGGGATTTCCCCTTTGGCTTGAACCTCAGCTCAGAAACTCTGTCTCTCCAGAATGGTGTTATATAGGGCACGGTAAGCACAAGCCAAACGCCAAATAAGTTGTACCTCCTTAGATTTATGTAAGCCGCATCGTCCCTGACTCAAATACTGGCTTAGTTTCTCAGGATCCTACAAGTGTTCAAGAGTAAAATCCCATGACACTGCAGGTCCCCATGCTTCTAAGACCTTTCCTAACCTCTCCATATTCCCTGCCAGTCATCATTCTCTAGTTTTGGAGGAGACTCCTTATTAAAAATGCATTGGAGTACATTCAGGAGAATTAATGACATGCACACCAACATGAGTATTAATTCAAGATTCGAAAAACGTTTGACAAACCGAGAAGAAAACCAGGAGACTGGTCTGAACATCGTGTTGTTTGTAAAATTAGCTATTCCATTTGGGATTAAGTTGTTTGTAAAATCAGCTATTCCATTTGGGATGTAATTGTTTGTGAAATTAGCCATTCCTTCCGGGATGTAAATGTCAAAATTCAAATCATATCACATTGCATATAAGTAAAATATAGGTTTCTCCATCAGTGCCCTTAGGTATTTATATATGAATGCAATTCCACAACACGTAAGTATGAGATGGATTATTGGCCAGTAGGTTGTGAGTAACACCATTGCTTTAAATCCTTTACCCAGCACCCCCACGATAACGAGTGGGTTCATCAGTGGTGCCTGCTAAAAAGGGGTTAATGAATTGAAGCTAACAGGAGGAGGGAAAAAAAAGAAAAAAAGGCACTACCCAGACTAAGTAGTGCTCAAAGTTTACAAATATCCCAGAACAGTGGCATTACGCCTAATCTTTCAAGGTCAGGATTTCCAGCACTGAACTACACCTGAACTACTGATAATGCTCCCTAACGAAGCTCTCTAAGAGCAGAGAGAAAAAGAGATTCGTTCTAGAAGATGAAAAGCAGCTGCCCCACGTTGGGCTCCAAAAATCTGTCACGGGGTTGACCAGATCAATCTATGTCCGTGACAGGGGCAACAGGCTGCTGCCCTCCCCCCCCACCCCAGTCCCACAAAAATGGGAAGGAAGGAAGGGAGGAAAAGAGCAGCGGCAGCAATCTATGGAGGAAAACTTATTTTACTATAATATTGGAATACAAGATAACACAATATATACAATGTAATTGAAATTGAGATTAATAAATCAGACAAGATGAGAGAGAGAGTTCCCGGGACCGAGTCAAACCTGAAAAGCTTGGAACGGCCAGGAAAGCACCTCCAGCATCCACTGCAAGGCAGCAAGAGAGCGCCCCCCCCACCCGGAAGGGCCAGATCCCATGACTGCTGTAATGTACAGGGATAGGTACCTGGGATTGGGGCAGTGACACTTTAATGCCCCATACACTACATGATGTTTTGATGTGGAATACTGAAACCCAAAATAAAAGCAAACAAACACATAGAACCATGACAACAGCGCACGTCAAAACGGGAAGAACACGATGAGCAAGTGCATACAAACATGGATTTTCCCCATTTCTGGAGGAATCCAAAGCCAGGTTGGATGGGGACCTGGACAGCGGGGTCTCGTCTCGCATTGAACGTGGAGCTTGGTTGGCAGCCTAGCTTGAGGCAGGGGAGTTGGAGCTGGATGATCCTTGAGCTCCCTTCCATCCCAAGCCATTCTACGAGGATTCTGGGATTTCCCCAACTCCAGTCATAAGCACTGGAGGACTGGGTCAAATCTCCGCAGGTTCTGATGGAGTTTAATGCACTCCTCTTGCTCAGATTGCTCAACTTGGGTATTAAGGACCCTCTTGAAAAGCCACGTTCTGATGAAGCTTGTCACCAGCACAACCAGACCTCTATCTGTCCACCAGGGACGCTGGTTGTTCTCAGCCTCGTACTGACTTGAAGGACAACTGCCTTTGCCTTCCCTCATTCTCAATTGCCTACAAACACCAGCCATACGCCCCGTGCTGTGCATGAAGGATCATCAGCGCAGAGGATAAGGTGGGATGGATAAGGGAGGTATTAAACACGGAACACACCCAAAAAAGGACTCTATTTTGCTTCCCCGAACCATCATATGGAACATCCATACCTGGCTTTGGCACCGAACTGATGAGAGCCTCGGGAACTTTGTTGTTAATGAGTTCCACACACTCTGTAGGGAAAAATCCAACCTGTAACAAGAGCAAAAAGAGAGGTGTGATACTGAATGCAGCATTTCTCAGGTCTGAACGCTTCAACCAAAAACCATGGAACGTTTTCCTTGGAACATGTTTGCCGGACACTCCGCAAGGCTATCCAGCACAAAATGGCCTGCAGTAAAGTAACAAGCATTCCACATTTACAGCCAAAAGATCCAGAAAACGGCCTATGGAGCAGGGAGGGGACAAGTATGGTGATCTTTCCCCTCTGCTCTGCCCTTGTATGTCCACATCTGGAGCACTGTGTCCAGTTCTGGGCCCACTGGTACAAAAAGACAAGGATCTCTTGGAAAGAGTCCAGCGGAGGGCCACACAAACGGTGAGGGGCCTGGAGCATCTCTCCTATGAAGAAAGGTTGAATGAACTGGGTCTATTCAGCCTGGAGAAAAGAGGACTGAGAGGAGACCTGATCCAGGTCTATAAATATCTCAGGTGTGGGGACAGAGTGGTAAACCCAGACTGTTTTCAGCAGTGAGTGGAGAAAGGACAAGGGGGAATGGCCAGAAACTGCAGCATAAACTGCAGAAGTTCCGCACAGATGTGCACAAGAACTTCTTTACAGTGTGGTGACGGAGCGCTGGAACAGGCTGCCCAGGGAGGTGGTGGAGTCTCAGTCTCTGGAGATGTTCAAGACCTGCCTGGACATCTACTTGTGCGACCTGATGTAGAGAACCCGCTTTGGCAAGGGATGGAACTCGATGATGTCTGGAGGTCCCTTCAAACTCTTATGATTCCGTGATTCCTTAAACCTTAACACTAAAACAGATCGCTAATATTTACCTTAAAATCTAATCTAAAACAGTAACTCTAAAGCCCGTGCAGAAGGGTAACCCTTCACAATTAGCAGTAATACTGAATAGTAGCACTTAACCGTAACCCAAAGCGGGATCAGGCTGAGCTTGTCTGCTTACAGGGCTTTGCTTCGTGTAAAAAAACGAAGAATGCTCTACCCTTGGCTCTGAATGCTGTGTCCATGCCTTTGGATCGAGCGACAATTCGATGCGCTGTGCTTCTCCGTGGCTCCACGTCTGCATTCTGTGACGACAAGAGTCAAAAGGAAAACGCTCTGAAGAGGCAACGGGAAATGCGAGGAGCAACAGATGTTGTGCTCCTTGGGAGCACAATCGAAATAGTCGGGAGCGCTGTAGTCCGCACTGCCTACAGAAAAAACCCCGTCAAAAGGACCGCAGAAGGCAGGCAGAATTCACAAGTTCTTGGCATCGGAATGGCACTACGCGCTGTCACGGTTTGTAAGCGGCTCTCGCGGTGAACCGCTCCGGAGTGCTTGCCGTTGCTGCATGAGAAAACACACTTCTCTGCGAATGCAGCTTGCAGCCTCCAGCAGCGGTCTCGTGTTTCTCGGTCGCCGGGAATGGTCGACTGCAGTCGGATGCTTTTCTCCGAATAGCGTGCTCTTATGCACATGTGGGAGAGGAGATGTTTGGACTTCGCCTTGTGTAAAAATACGAAGATTGCACTACGTCTGGCTCTGAAGGTTGTCTCCATGACTTTCGATTGAGAGACATGTCGTGGTAGTGAGTTTATCCCTCCAAGTCTGCAATCTGTGACAACAAGAGTCGAAGGGATAACAATCTGTAAAGAGGGAAGGGGAATAGCAAGGAGTGACAGATGTGCTCTTTGGGAGCACATTCGAAAAAGTCGGGAGCGCTGTAGTCTGCACTGCGGAGAAAAAAACCTTTTCGGCAGGTCCGCAGAAGGCAAGCAGAATTCGCAAGTTCTCATCATCGGAATGGCACTACTTCACTCTCACTGTTCGAAAGCGGCACTCGGAGCGAACCGCTCCGAATTGTTTGCACTCGCCACCGAGAATTCGCTATTCTCCCCGAATGTCGCTTGCAGCTTCGAGCAGCGGTCCCATTCTTCTTGGTCGCCGGGAAAGGTCGAGTGCAACCGGCGTCTTTTCTACCAGTAGTGGGCTCTTCTGCTCACATAGGAACGGAGCAGTTTGGACTTCGCCTCATGTAAAAATAAGCAGACAGCTCTACGCCTGGCATGAAGGTTGTGTCCATGCCTTTCGATCCAGCAACAATTCGTGATAGTGTGCTTCTCAGTGGCTCCAGTTCTGCAATCTGTGATGACAAGCGTTGAAGGTATAACCCTCTCTGAAGAGGAAACGGGAAATGCGAGCAGCGACAGATGCTGTAATGTTTGGGAGCACATTCGAAAAAGACTATAGGGATCCTTCCTGAAGTGCTGACATACAAACCCCATCAGGAGGATCGTGGCAGGCAGGCCAAATTCGCACGTTCTCAGCACAGGGAAAACGCTGCTTCACTCTCGTGTCCGCAAACAGCACTCACGGGAACCGCGCTGGAGCGTTTCCACTCAACGCACGAGAAATCGCCCTTCTCCCCAAATGCCACTTGCAGCCTCCAGCAGCAGTCCCATTCTTCTCGATCGCCGGGAAAGGTCGAGTGCAACCGGTGTCTTTTCTCCCATTAGCGGGCTCTTCTGCGCACGTAGGAATGGAGTGGTTTGGACTTCGCCTCATGTAAAAATAAGCAGAATACTCTACACCTGGCAAGAAGGTTGTGTCCATGCCTTTCGATCCAGCGACAATTCGTGGTAGTGTGCATCTCCGTGGCTTCAGGTCTACATTCTGTGACGACAAGAGTCGAAGGGATAAGCCTCTCTGAAGAGGAAACGGGAAATGCGAACAGCGACAGATGCTGTGCTCTTTGAGAGCACAATCGTAAATGTCCAGAGCAATGTAGTGTGCACTGCAAGGAGAAAATACCCCACCTGAAGGACCACAGAAGGCAGGCCAAATTCGCATGTTCTCAGCATTGGAATGGCACTTCTTCCCTCACGCTGTTCGAAAACAACACTAGGGGGAACCGCTCCGGAGCGTTTGCACTCCCCACCAAGAATTTGCTATTCTCCCCGAATGCCACTTGCAGCCTCCAGCAGCGGTCTTGTGCTTCTCGGTCGCCGGGAAAGGGTGACTGCAGTCGGCTGCTTTTCTCCGAGTACCGGGCTCTTCTGCACACATACAAACAGAGATGTTCGGACTTCGCCTCGTGTGAAAATACGAAGATTGCACTACGCCTGGCTCTGCGTCACCATATGCCTCATCTCTTATGCCTTCAAGGTGGCACAGTGGCAAAGGTTATGTTTTTTTTAATGGGGGAGCATTAGCACAGCTTTGCTGGGTTTAATGGGGGAACACTGGAACAATCCTGCATGCTTTAATGGTGGCACATTAGCACAGCTCTCTGGGTTTAATGGTGAGACTTTGGCACAGCTCTGCTGGGTTTATTCCGGCACAGCTTTGTTGTTCTTAATGGTAACACAACTGACAGCTCTGCTCTGTTCAATAGTGACACCTGCACAGCTCTAATGGGTTGAATGGTGAAAGACTGGCAAACATATGCTGGGTTTCATGGAGACACACTGGCCCATCTCTTCTGGGTTTCCTGGTGACGCATTGCACAGCTGTGCTAGGTTGAATAGTGGCATAGCTCTGCGAGGCTTAATGGTGGCACATTTCACAATATTTTGGTGGGCGTTTTTCCTCTAGGTCCCTTACCAGTGCTCCCGACTTTTTTGAACGTGCTCCCTGAGAGCACAACATCTGTCGCTCCTCGAATTTCCAGTTGCCTCTGAAGAGAGAGTTTTCCCTTCTACCCTTGTGGCCACAGAATGCCTAAGTGCAGTCACGGAGAACCACACTGCAACAAACTGTCGCTGGATCGAAAGGCATGGACACAACCTTCAGAGCCAGGCATAGTGTCACCAGCAGAGCTGTGCCAGTGTGGCCCCATTTTACCCTGCAGAACTGGGACAACGTGTCACTAAGAAACCCTGCAGCAGAGCTGTGCAATGTGCCTCCATTAATCCCAGCAGTGCTTTGCCAATATGTCACCACTAACCCAGCAGAGTGGTGCCAATGTGTCAGTAATAAACCGAGCAGAGCTGTGCAATGTGCTACCATTAAACCAAGCATAGCTGTGCCAATGTGCCCCCATTAAAAGTAGCAGAGCTGTGCCAATGTGTCACCATCAAGACCAGCAGAGCTTTGCCAATGTGCCACCATCAAAGCCAGCAGAGCTGAGCCAGTGTGCCTGCATAAAAGCCAGCAGAGCTGTGCCAATGTGCCACCAATAAACCCAGCAGAGCTGAGCCAATGTGCCACCATCAAGCCTAGCAGAGCTGGGCCTATGTGCCAGAATCAATCTCAGCAGCGCTGTGCCCATGTGTCACCATCAAAGCCACCAGAGCTGTGCCAATGTGTCACCATCAAGCCCAGCAGAGCTGTGCCAGTGCGCTCGCATTAAAGCCAGCAGAGCTGTGCCAGTGTGCCTGCATTAAAGCCAGCAGAGCTGTGCCAGTGTGCCACCAATAAACCCAGCAGAGCTGTGCCAATGTGTCACCAATAACTTCAGCAGAGCTGTGTCAATGTGCCACCAATAAACCCAGCAGAGCTGTGCCAATGTGCCACCAATAAACCCAGCAGAGCTGTGCCAATGTGTCACCATTAAGCCCAGCACAGCTGTGCCAATGTGTCACCTTTAACCAGTCAAGTCAGACAGACCAAGACTATGATGCTGACCTGTAACCAGGCACAGTGCAGCTCGAGCTCCTTCTGCAGTCACTGGAGCAGCTTCCCCACCTCCAGATCTACAGGCAATATGCACACAAAGCACAGCAAGTCCGTCCATGCTCCACACTCACAGAGAACAAGCTGACAAGTTGAACATTTACATTAATTATGCTAAGTCACTATTCAATGCAATGAATAAGCTTTTTGGAGAAAATAAATAAAAAGAGAGAAATCCCCACCATCTTCTACTACTCACGAGCCAGGAAATGCAGCAGGCATCCCTTCATCCTCACCACCACAAAGTGTCAGCAGTCCCAGTGCCCGTCTCCAGTCCTGCCCTTTTCGAGTCCCTCTCCTGCCTCTGATGTAGCCCTGACCAGGCCCTGTTCTGCCCCCATTCCGTTTAGCCCATTCCTAATCTCATCTTGTCCCTGGATCCTCCACCTTACCTTGCCTGTGTTCCTGTCCCTACCCCAACCCTACCACTACCTCCACACCTACTCTCACCCTTTTCTTTATCCTCCTATCACTGCCCATCCCTCTCTTTTCCCTCTCCTGCCCATCTCTCCTGCCCCTGTCCCTATCACTCGTCCTGCCCCTACCCCAACACTTTTCCCTATCCCACCCCTTTCCCTCTCCTGTTTCCTTCCCTTCCCTATCCCTGTGCTGTCCCTGCTCCAGGCTGACAACAGAATCCCCTGGCAGCCCACCACAAAGTTGAAGGGAAATTGTAAGCAAGGAGAAGAGAAGTGTGATGAATGAGAGGGGAGGACAGGAAGGGCAGAAGAGAAGAAAGGACACAGGTAAGAGGAGCAGAGTTAATGGGGCAGGGGAAAGCAGGAGATGGTAGGGGAGAATGGACAAGAGGGAAGAGCAGAAAGGCAGTGAAAAAAAGGATTCCTTGAAATAAGTGTTTACAGCTTTATTTCAAGACAGGATGCCTCACAGTAAGATGGATGGTTTTCCAATTCCTGAATTACAGAGGATACATAAACAGAGGGGTTAAGAAACCTAGCAAGAAAATGCCACATTCTAAAGCAAACAGCCCAGGAACAATTCCAGCTACTGCACTCCCTTGAGAGCCTCAATGGGACTCTCATCTGCTCACAGGGCCCAACGCGAGAGGATCAGCTGCTCTGGGGGAAAAGGACTGGGAACCATGTTCCAGTTTGTATCCTTGGAAGGAGGCTACGGAAGCAGCTCCACGTAAAGACAAGAATGAAACGATGGCCAAGCTCCAATGCAACAGGTGCAGGACCAACAAACCCTCATGGAGCTACAAATATTTTGGAAAAACGGGTCCTCACAAACTGTAAGAGCCTTAAATGACCCCAGAGCAGAGGCCTCCTTAACATATGGGAACCCCAAGAAACGTGAACGACAACTGGTAGTTATTATAGGGTTGGGAGGGAAACAACCTGAAGCTGTACAAACACAAATAGAAATGAGAATAGAAAACCTCCCACAATGACTGCATCCTGTGATGACTGTCCCCACCCCAGAATACATCGCAGGGATGGGCATTCTAAAATGACTAACACTGAATCTCCCCAGTGCTCAGCCCCAATTTGGAATAAGGAATTGCATTCATGCTCCGACAATTTCAGTGGGAAAAGTAACAATGCCTGCTGTGCAGATTCCTGCTGCAACTGAAGTAGCGACAGTGAAACAGTACAGGACCTGGGGGGGGGGAGCATGAAGAGATATCAAGGACAATTAATGATTTATTGGGTGCAGGAGTTTTAAGTCAGCTACTACAGCTCGGAACAATCCAACATGGCCTGTCAAAAAGCGGTGGGTTGTGGGAGGAATTAAACAAGCTCATCCCGCCTCACACAGCGGCTGTAGCAGGTAGTGTTGCTTTAACAGAAAAAGCTCAGAACCATTCAGAACAGGGCATGCTGTAATTGATTTAGCTAATGCTAGCTTCTTCACGATCCTGATTGCAGAGGAACGCCTTCCCGTGGCAGAGGTGACAAGATCCTGTCTGTAGATTGCCTCAGGGACGGCTGCACAGCCCAACCATCTGCCACAGAACTGTGGCTGAACATCTGCATGACACCAAACTGCCTCCTCACATGCAAACAGTTCATTACGTAGATGACGTCCTGACTCAGGGAAACCAAAGAAGGGGTGCAACAAATGCTGGCATTGGTTGTGGATCAGATGAAACAGAAAGGCTGGGAAATTCATCCTACTGAAATTCAAAAAGTGACATTTTTAGGAATTCAGAGGCATTTTGGGCATTGGGGAATACTACTCAAAACTCAACACAACGTTTTAGACTTGGCAGTACCCTGTAATAAGAATGAGGCACAACAGTGTATTGGGCTGTTTGGTTTTTGGAGACAGCACGTTCCATACCTAGGACAAATTTTAACCTGTTGTTTATATACAAAGCGACAAGGAAGAGTTGGAGGGGGAAACAAACAGCAGGTTGCCTTTGAATTAGCAACAAAGGCTCTTCAAAGGGCCTCAGACTTAGGGCCCATGCAAAAAGCAGAAACAGAGTTAAACGTGTCTGCAAATGGGGCACGTGCCAATTGGAGCTTCTGGCAAAAACATGGAAAGAAAAAGGTTCCCTTGGGTTTTGGAGGAAGAAAATTCATGTCACGAGAGGAGTAATGGATGCAGATTATCAAGGATGAATCAAATTCTGTTCAACAGCAGTGAACAAGATTTAATTAAACCCAAGATTTAATTCAAACCCATGACAGAACAGCACAGTTGTTGGTACTGCCAGTTTTAAAAACAGCTGTGAGAAAAGGAGATCCACCTCAGATCACCACCGCTCTGGAGAAATATGTACGTAGTACATAATTTTGTTTTGCAGATCCTGCACGACTGGATTTACCCGCCTACCAGCACGGTCCATTTGGAAAAAGATACCATCCGTGTGCCTGGATGTGAAGAACGGCCTCACCTGAAATTATCCCCAGTGCCTGCTGTCAGAGCTTGTGACCTGAGTGCAGTGATGGTATTGCTAACGGCACGCTGCCACTGTGACCAAGGCACAAGCTGGATGAACAGATTGATAACTTTAGGACAAGGTTGAACAGCTTGCTCTTTCTTTGCTCTTTCTTGCTAACTGCCATGTGTGTGGAAGCCCAGGAGGATGGGAACAATGGACATGGATGGCCTGTGCAACCCAAATGGTGGGATAGCAAAACGAGTGCAGCCCATGAGGGAACAGAGCTCTGGGCCAGGACAGCAATCCCTGCCAGATGCAGCAATACAGAGAAATGATCAGAGAAACGGGGAAAAATACACAGAAATTGAAACATGTCCAGATTACTTCACGTGTCCCACACCTGTGGTGACTCAAAGACCACACCTGCTACGTTTCCCACAGTGAGGCTGTGTCCATATCAGAATTAAGTCTTGACACGAGATTTCTGACTTACGAATATTAAAGCCATCTTCATAGTCTGAAGGAAAGGGCTGAGCTGCTGGAGGCTCTGCTCAGCTACATTTCTGCCCGTCTCGAGTGCAGTTCAAGTGTAGATTTCATACACAGGAAGGTGTGAAGAAAAGCTCCCCCTCCAGTCCTAGAGTTAAAGTTCAAGCAGTAAATATCAGGCTACAACAAAGCCCAAGCTTCTGAGTTCAAGGACATCCTCTGAAACCTAATTTAAGGCAGTAAAATTCACCTTCTTGCCTCAGGTTAATATCTCCAAGCTATTTTCAAAGATCTTTTCATTACCTCCTGATACGTTTGCATACAGCTAGTAGAACAAACAGAGCTAATAAAGAGACCCAAACACACACAGTGAAGGCGTGAAAGTCCAGCAGTTCCAGCAGTGGGGGAAACACGCACCTGAGATCAGAGACTGCAGGGAATGCTCCTTTGTGGGTGGGATTTAAGTCACACCAGGCACAACGCTCTGCTTTTGAGAAAGGCTGCTTTAACAGCACGCCGTTTCGGAAAGCACACTCTAACCAGGTTTGTGAAGGGCCTCCCAAATCCTCACAGTCTTACTGCTCTGGGAAGCACGAGGTTCTCTTCTCAAAAACATTTCTTACCAGTGCATCCAGCGAGCACACACATCCGATGTTGTGACAGAGAACATGGGCAGAGACCAGCAGGTTGGAAGGTTGTCACCTTCGGGCCGGATCAATACTACAGATATCCGGCAAGCCCTTCTGTAGCAGAAACATGATTGCTAAAGCTGAGTAACGTCCAGTGGGTGAGTATGAGTAAGGTGAGGCTCAGCACAGTGCTGAGGGATTCGATACTGACATGCCACTGCAATTCAGTGCACAGGATGAAAAGGCAGTAAGGTGGGCCTGAAGATGGAAAAGGACAGCCATGTCCTGCACTGTCACGCTGGAACCACGTCAATCACTACTCTCAAAGCGTGTATCTGCTAAAAGGCTGCCGTGTTTGAGACCTCCAAAACAATCTGCATCACCAGACTAATCAGCACTTTATGAATGCACACCAAAGACCCCAAAATTCCTCTCAGAATACGACGAGTACAACTTACATTACATTACTTCCACCTACAGGATTCTACTTCTGACTTTGTAATTCTGTATTATAAAACAAAAGAAGGCTTCTTTCTTGCAATACCAGTTCTTAACAGCACTTTTACAATCGAGTATGAGAAGTAATCCACTTACCTTTACAGGATGGAGTTGCTCAAGAATACCAGAGTTGGCAGATTCGGAATGCCACACTTGAGGATTTTTCAGAAAATACTGCAATGAAACACAACATTAAATAAAAAATAACCCAACACAGCCAGGTAATCTAAACTGACCTTGAAAGCTGTCAGTGTCTAACTACTGTTTTCCTGTAGTTGTGGATCTCATTAGCAGCCACCAATTTACTCAGCCAGCCTTTATAAACCTTAATTTTTCATAACTACACAAGGGCTGATCCAAAAGTAATGCCTCCTGTCCTATAAAGCCGGCCCACAACATCACAGGTGGACGCTGGTGGGATGACAGCAGAGGCTGAACCTTCCTGCCAGCACTCAGTTACAGTTTGCAGCCGTGCCACAGACGGCAGCAGAGGGCCAGAATGACAGCACAGCACCAAGCTCGGAAGTGCTCATGGAGCACAGGGTGTCCCTGAACTCCTCCACACTGAAAAAATCGCACCACTGACATCCATCAATGCCTGCAGAACATTTATGAAGCCCGACACGTGGAGGTGAGTGCAGTGAAGCAGTGGTGGTGCATTTCAGCAGTGGCGCAGCAATGCAAGACGAGCCACCCAGACAGCAAAAGGATCTATTTTAATTATTATGATTTCTTTTTAAACAAGCACAGCACGCAGGCTCTCACTCAACACTGGAAGAAAAAAACAAAAACCAACAAAACGATAGTTAATGGTGGTGACCATGTTGAAAAACAGCTTTGTAGTTGAGAACTCGCCCTATGTATCCGTTGTCATTTCTGTGGAAATAAATAGGAGGCATTCCTTTCAGAGCAGTCTACGTTCCTCAATAAGCTATCATCCTAATAATGAAGTAACACTAATAATAGGAACAGAAAAACACAGATTCTCAGAATATCTTTTGTGGGGATGGAATAACAGGACCTGCAGTCAGCTGCAGCACCAGTCTTTTATGTGCACATCAATAAAGCAGAGAATACAGCTCTGAGCAGCCATCTGCCAGGACTCGTTTAAAGAAGCAGTCAAAGGAGTTGACAAGGCCCCATTTTCCAGGTCTTCTGACCTGGTCCTCAATGCAATCTGTCGCCAGGACCTTGAACTTCACAGCCACTGCATGCAAATACACTTTAATAACGGAGTCTTACAGAAAACAGAGGCTGGCCTGAAATCGTGCATCTGTACACAGATGAGCAAAAAGGGCTCAAGTCAAGGCTTAAGATTTATCACATCAAATACATGCACAATACATGCACTTCAGGAGAGATCCTGAATTCTCCAATAAATATGCTCATTTAAAAACAAAAAAAAGTTAAACTCAGTAGCTTCCTCAAATTAAAATCCCAAATATACCAATAGCAGTTGTTCAAACACACAGCGCTGGACATTTGCAGATGGCAACAACAGCGCAGATCATTATTCCTACTGCCGCGGCTGCAGTGATGCAGGTTATCACTTGACAGCTGTCAGCACTGTACCTCGCTAACTCGGGTGGGACTCTAACCCACAATCCCCGGAATTGACGTGAGTTCTAGATGGTTATGAACTCGTGATCACCAGTGCCCAAGCGCTAGCCTAGCTTACAAGTGCTAGCCAGAGGTGAGGCTCGAACCCACAATTCCTGCAATCAGACACAGTGCTACAAGGCACCTGTCCTTCCCGGTCATTACCTTCCCGTCCCGCACCCCTGCACCAGTCCACCCGCAGGGTAAAGCCCTCCCGCGTGGGGCGGCCCCTCACGTCTGACGGAGTCCCCGGCTCCTGCGTACGCCTTACGGAGCCTTCCCTTTAAACGTACCTGGTCCGCTTCCAGATGGTCCCCGTCTGTCCCCGCAGTGATCGGATGAGCAGGGGGAGTCCTTCCAAGAATTCTCGGGGCGCGCCAAAGGCGTCTCCCTCCTCAACTGGTCCTGCAGCCGAACAGAGAGTGTCCCATCTGGGGTGCCCAACTGCTCTGCGGAATCAAACTCTCGAACTCGTGCGTCCGTTGCAGCACTGCGGGGAAACCTGCTGCGCTGCAGCGTGTGCCCAGTGCCCCCGGTCCCGCTGCTGGGCGCTGCCGGGTGCAGCCTGGCTCCGTCCTCACCGCACCTCCCTGCACGGGGCGGGCGGCGCCGAGGACTTGGGGCGGCGGAGCGGCTAAGCGCGTCCTTCCCCGCGCGGAGTCCCGCGGCTCCGCCGTCGCGCCGGCACCACCGTGACGATCCCCCATCCGCAGACGCCATTGAAGGAGAGCCCGCGCTCGCCCCCTTCCACCGCGCTGCCATTGGTCGATCCGCCGGATGGGGCGGGCGCTCCGCGTGGGGTCCGTTCCGTCAGCGGTCGCGCCGTCATTGCGTCATCTCCGCGCGCGTCCCGCATGGCCCCGGTTGGGGCTGCGGGCAGAGGACGAGGAGGGCGGGGACGCGGGGGACGGCAGTGCAGCCCACCCCAAGCGGAGTCCAAGTGCCCGCACAGCAGCACCTCCACGAGGAGCGGGTCGGCATCGCTGTGGAGCAGCCGAGCCTCTTGGAGGAGGATTAGAGTCAGGCAGCCGGTCCCAGGCACCGGGCAGCACACTGAAGCGTGATGCAGTCACACTTCTCTCCAAATTCCGTGCTTGATGAAATCCGAAGAAATCTTCATACCATGGTGCTTTCAACCAAATTATGTCAAAATATTCTTTCTCACCACTCACTTCCCTTTTCTGCACTTGAAGCAGCAGCCAGCCGATCATCGGGGGCTCAGTTTGCCATCAGAGATTGTCAGTGGTCATCTGAATGCTTTGTTGGCTGTCAGAGGGCTCCACTGATCATCAGAGATCGTGTGTCCCTTCCACGCCCCCCTCTGTGTCTCTCTATGTCACTTCTACTGTATGCTTTCCATGTTGCTTCCCAGTGGCCCCGTGATGGTTTCTGGTATCCCCAAAGCCACCTCAAGCACACCAAGGGGTCCCGGGGTCCCCATGGCAGAGCTCCTGGCATCCTCATTGTTGGTTCCAGGATGCTCAAAGCCACCATGACCCCACAAGGGGATTCTGGGCTCCCCATGGGGCTCCTGGTATCACCAAGGCCATGGTGACCATGTACCCATCACCTCCTGCGCGCATCACCACGTGTCCCCTTGATGCCACCATGTCCCCTTCTGAAATGGCAGGAGATTGGAGACCCCCAGACCCTGCAGGGAGGTGACAGGTTTCACCGCCAGCCCCCTGCCACAGAACCACGCAGTGTGGTTCTGGAGCAGTCCTGTTGCATCCTGCCACAGAGCAGGGGCTCCTGGAGTCACTGAGGGGACACTGAGGTGTCTCGAGGGGCTGCCGGGGGGGGCAAGATGGAAGGGCTGGAGCCGGAGCTCTAGGCTGCAGGTCTCTGGGAGGTGACTGCAAACCCGGGGATCCAACCCCTATGGAGTCCCCTCACGTTACCCCAGGACCTCTCAACCCCTCCAAAATCCCTCAGTGCCAATGGGAACTCCAGCCTCAACGGGACTCCCCATTTCTTCCCAAATATAATAAAGCCCCTGGAAGAAAGACAGGACCCCTGGGAATGCACACACCTCCCAGCCCTTTCTAGGACTCTCCCCATTAAAACAGGAGCCCAGAGAGCCCCACAACCCAACGGGACCCCCAGCCACAATGGGACTCCCCAGTCCTCCCAAGACCAGTCAGATCCCCTCCAACAAATCGTATAGGAGACCCTGGAGTCCCCGGAGTCCCCAGCCCCAATGAGCGACTTCCTAATCCTCCCACCACCAAGATCATCACCTCCCCCCAAAGTCAGGACCTCTGGGAGCCCCTAACCCCAATGGGATGCCCCCATAATCTCACTCTTTTGGGGCCCCGCATTACTCCCATGTTCTCCTGCTGTCCCTTGTGGTTTTGGTGCATCCAGCGTCCCCCCATTGTCCCCTCCCTGGTGGCTCTGTGCCTCCATGTCCCCTCGGTCCCTGTCCGAGGGACCTGTGGCTCTGGGGGCCCCCTCAGTGTCCCCCTTTGTTCCCTCCCCAGTCGCTCTGGGTTCCCAGTGCAGAAATCATTGCTGAGAAATCACAGTTGTGTGTCTGCATCTGCAACTTGGGCTGGAAGTCCTAGGGCTTTCTCACACCTCAATTAGAAAGGAAACAAAAGCAGGAAAAAGACACTGCAAGTTGAGTGGTGCTGAGGCAGCAATGACTGAAAAGGCAAAGCCCTGTACAGCATCCCCCAGGGAGGGACGCCTGGCAAGAAATCAAATACCTGCATATCACTCTGCAGGTCATCAGCGCAGTGACTCGTCATGCTAGAAAGGGGTGGGGAAAGGGGGACAAGTTGTTCTCCCCACATGCACAGTAGAAGACAGTAACTTTGGCTAAAACAAAATTTGAGAGTCCTCCGCGTAGAAAGAATTTTGTCTCTTTTAATTAGGGATCTGGGACAAATTTGAAGAAATTTGAAGGAGAAGGGGAAAGGAAATGGGGACACCATCCTCCAAGAGAGAAGCAGGACAGCGCAGGGCAGGCAGCGGATTCCCGAGGTGGCTGTGCATAAATAAAGGGCAACTGTCGGCTTCTCAGTTCTCCGCTCACGCATGCTCACAGGGTGAGCTGCACCCCGCAGCTGTCAGGGCCGGGCAATGAAGAACAGCACGTCGCAGATAACCTGGGAGACCAAGGAATCCACTGCGGGTGACACGGAGATGTCCAACAGCCGTGACTCGTGCAGCGTGAACTGTGAGTGGCTCTCGCCCGCCTCAGCCAAGGCAAGCAGCGCCCGAGCCGCTCGGCGCATCATGTCCACACTCGGCAGCTCGCAGGGCGCATTCTGCTCGGGCACCGGGCCAGCCTGGCTCTGCTGGCATCGCGCGGCAGCCAGGCCGTCCTCCAGGAAGCCCAGCAAGTCGCCAACACTCCTCTCCTGTGAGGCAATCGCCCTCGCTGCCAGGCTGTCCCCCTGTGCCAAGGCGGCCAGTAGGACCACCGCCATCTCTTGGCACACTGGGCTCTCTTTGTTGTGGAGGAAACGCAGCAGGGTGCTGTACAGCATCTCCAAGCGGCTGGTGGGGGGAGCTGCAAGGATCAAATCCACGTTGGTGTCCCGGGTGCTCAGTTTGCTGAGTGTTTCCAAAGCCAGGCTCCGAGGAGAGAGGACGGCATTCGACCCCAGTGCTGGAAAAGGGTCCTGGGCCTCTGCTGATGGACACACTGCCCAGTGGAGGAGTCCGTCCAGGATGGGCAAGCAGAGGCTTTCTGGGAGAGGGGACAGGTCCAGCTGGGCAGAAATGTTGGCCAGCGTCACCAGTGTGTTCTCACGCAGTTCCTGCAGGCAGTCCTGCCACCACTCCTCCTGGTCGCAGCTCAGCCCCTGGTCCTGCTCGAGCTCCTCTCTCTCCGAGCTCAGGGCTGCCTGCTTGCGCTCTGGGTGCTCATGGTGTAAGAGCAGCAGTTTCCCCAGGATGAGCAGCAGCCCAGCGTGTTTGCACATCTCGGTGTCATTGCCCGGCACAAACGACAAGCTCCTGATGATGTTGGAGACACAGATGCAGCGCTTCGCCAGAGAGCCCTGCCAGTCGTGGGTGAGGCAGAGTGGGGCCTCGTCTCTGCTGCAAGGCTCATCCTCCAGAATTGCTGAGGAGCTGTCAGATGGAGGAGCCTGCCCTTCCCGAGCATTTCCATTGCTCTCAGCCGTGGAGCGCTCTCTCTTGCTCTCAAAGTGGGTCTGGATGTGCTCAGTGGTATCTCCGCCGCCAAGCTGCCAGAGCAGGCGGGCGCCCTCCAACCCACAGAGTGATCTTTGCCCTGGGCAAATACCCACCTCGTATTCCTCCAGGATTCCAAAGACCTCGATCAGGCAGCGCCGGAAATATTCCACCAGGACTTCCAGCAGGCCTGGAAGCTATGGGGGAGGAGAAAAACGGGAGGGGAAGGAAGGAAAGATGGATCAGTGACCACAAAATAACTGAGGTTGCTGTGAGCAATTGGACAACCACTGCATAAAGGGCAGAGATCTTGAGGAGCTGCTTATTAACGGAATCTTTTCATTCTGGCAATAAGCTCTTTGCAAAAGAGACCTTTCTGTCCGCTTGGAACAGAAACAGGGGTCCCTGAATGTCAGGATCCAGCCAGCTTGTACCTGTGTAAACACGCACGCTCTCGGTTTTTGTCTCCTCTCTGAGTAACGCTCAGGAGAGAGGCAATGCTAAGTAGAGCAGCCTCTAAAGTATAGTGGAACAGTTTTTACAACAGCTTTGTAGGCACGAGGCAAATCATGGAGACAGGCTGCCCCTTCTAGAGGCACCCAAGCCACACTGCACGCTGACCCGTGCGAAAAGACAGAGCTGTTGCACCAGGAGAGGTGAGCAGCCTTCAGCCCTTCACAGCGCTCTGCTACAAAGCCCCTCTTGGCCTCCCCACCATGGTTCCCTTTCTGCTTTAGAGGCGACACGTCCCACCAGAGAGGAGAGACCACGCGCTTGCACACCAACCACATGCAAATCCACAGCTCAGCGAGCACTCGGTGCTGAGCATCTGCACCCACCTGCCTGAGGTCAAAGGATGCGATGTTGCTGTCGTCGTGGAGCAGGACAGTTATGGTGTCTAAGGCCCACGTGCTTTCAGCGAGCAGCCCAGACTTCAGAGACATCATCACCCTCCAGGCTGCAGGAGCTCCTGGAACACAAACACGTCATACTTTTCCAGACCCTGGACTTCAAAACCGAAAAGGAGGGACTGGATACTGCTTTTTTGTCTCACACAAAGCACAGCCTGCTGAAGACGTTGCACAGACTCCATGCAAAAGCAGTCTCCACACAGACAGTGCCCAACACAAACGTTATACCCAGTCCTTCTGGGTCCCTTCACCCTTGCGTTATCACAGAACGACAGAACATCCCAACTAACTTGGCAAAGGAGACCTCTTGCAGAGCTGGCAGAGCCCTTCCAATTGGCAGCACTGTACCAAAGAGGGATGGCAACACCCAGCCTCTCGATGGACACAGGCAGAAAAGCAGGAGTTTCCTCTTACCAACATCTGCTGCTGTCATCCGCCTCCTTTTCTGTAATACTGGCTTGGCAGCTTCCACCGATCCCGGAGGGAAGGAGACGGCCCGTCGCTTCCTGGCAGGCCGTTCCGCTGCCAGTGCCACGTGCACGGCGGGGATCGGCGGTTCTGCCTTCTTTCCCCTCCCTGGCTGCGGGGATGCAGATTTGCTGGGAGTGGTGCGATTCTCCAGAGCTCTGGGCTGCTGCTGCAGCTGCCCCTGCCCGGCGCTGCACTGGACGCTGTGCATCCCCGCTTTGAGCTGCTTGGCAGGTGGGGTGCAGCTGCTGTCCATCAGTCGCCTGGGATTCTAGATGGAAAGTAAAGCCATCAGCAACATGAGGTCATCAAGCCAGAAACAGGCAACACAGACTCAGTGGGGAGAAATGCTCAGCACCAGAGGACACTTCCTCTCAGGCTCACCACCCAGCTCACAGGGTTCAGTGATCTCGCTGGCCGTAGCAGAGGAACTGGACTGATGGAAGGAAACACATCAGGACTGAGGAGCACAAAAACACCTGGATCACATCCTAGATGGCTTCTAAGAGCAGTCAGACCTCAAGGTTCTGCTGTTACATTCAGATCAGCTTTCTGCTAGACCCACACTTGTCTCAGATCAGGTTCATGTCAGTTTAAAAGACAACTACGACTCAACAAAGGTACCAGGGAACCAGCTGCAGAACATGCATTTCTAAAAAGGAAAAGCTTTCACCAAGAAAACCTCACGGAGACATTGCAGAGCCACCTCTTTGAGAGACCTCCTGTGGCCTCATTTGCTCCATACGTCAGGAAATGCCTCAGCCAGCTGCACATGGCATTCCCCAGGGCTGCAGCACGACGTAGATTTTGGCACAGTCTCTACTTTTCTGAGACCACGTCTGATTCGAGCAACAGTCTCATTAGCTATGGACTGCATTTGGAGACTGGGAGAGACCGACCGACCCACCAGGAGCATCTGGTCCGGTCCATTCCCTCCAACTAATAACGGCAAGGCCGGCCCAGCGTTGACTTGGGGACAAACCGATCTCTGCAGAGGGATGGGGAGGACAGTGCTGCATCCCGGCTGCTCACACCTGGCAGGAGATGCCAGCATATGCCACTCTCCAAAAGAGAAAACATCCCAACAGACGATATCCCACTCACTGGCCGCGCTGCTGATGTAACACTGTGCTCACACGGAGCAGCAAGATCACATCCTGCACAAACAGCCACGCTAATGGCAGCTCTGCTCGCAGTAGAAGGCAAGTCACATTGGGTTTCTCTCGGGCGCTGCACTCACTACTAGATACATACACTGTGTCATTTACAAACTAACAAACAAACAGAAGTTTTACCTTTGACTGGAGTTCTGCTTTTTGGGTCTCTTCTCCCTTCTTTCTTCTTTTAGTTGCAGGAGTTAATTTGACATCCGCCAGACCCATCACTTCAGGACTTGCTGCCACCCCTAGGAAGTCACAGGAATTTGTGACATTGCTTTTCATTCCATGCCGTGAAGTCTTCAAAGCCCAGCACTCAGCCCAGCCTTACCTGCAGAGCCGTTAGCCATGTTCCCACCCATGGGATAAGGCGGGCCCTGGTGGTTGATCACACCAGCCATGTTGTTAGTTCCCTGTCCGTAAGGAGGTCCAGTGCCCTGCATTCCCCCTTGGTTCATACTGGGATAACCGGGTGGCCTGGAGAAGGCAAGGAAAAAACAGGCGTTCACTCCAAATAAAGATGCTTTGATTGGTGTTTGGGCCTCTTCTGTTACCAGTGAAGGGAGAGGAAAAAGCCTTCCAGAAGGCAAATCTTTAAGGAAGTGTACGTTGACTATCACCCCAGCTTTGGGCTACTGCAGCCATGGCTTTCAAAGCCAGCTACGACAGAGGGAATGGATTGATACGTTGAGACCAAGGGAATGTTCGAGCCTCACCAGTTCTGGATGGCGCTGGCAGCAGCACACACGGCGGCTGCTCCTTGTGCTCTGTGAGCCATGCCACCTGCTGTGGGGCGCATCCCTGCCCCCCGCTGAGGAGGAACGCTGCCACGCAACTGGCTCCCTGCTGCCGCCAGGTTCATGCTTCCTCCCAGTCCTGCGCTGCAGAAGTTGGCACCGGGCAGAGCACTGCGGTTGGGCCTCACGGGATAAGCTCCTAGAGGGGTGGCAAGAGGGGAAGACGGCATCGTTCAACAAGTTCGTTCATGAACCGCCATACAGACCTCCTGTCAGCAGATACTTAAAGGTCACTCACAGAGAAGAGGGAGAGACTTAGGACCTGTGCTAAAAGTCAAAGCGCCTGGATAGGAGCCACGTAATGTGCGTTTTGACACAGCTAAGGAACAACACCGAGTCTAAAGCTGTCTGGCACTCTCTCAAACTTCAGCCAACCACACTGAGCTATACAGTATAGCACAGGATGTAAAAAAGCCTCTAAACCCTTTCCAAAACATAGAACGTGTGATTTCCTTTCCCTGCATAGCGAAATGGCTCTTTAACACACTGGAGGTGCTGCCTGTATCTTTCTAAGTGAGAAGGAGAGATGCAATGGTTAAAAGTACAGCCAGCCCTGAGAGCAATGTCGTTCATGACTCCCAGTATAATACACAGAGCACAGGTTGTTCCAGCTCACGAGGAGTGGACTGTTTTGCATTGCCCGTGCAAGAAGTGAAGAAGAATCAAATCAAAATGCTTTCTCCAAAGACAAGACGTTGCCTCCAACTGAGGCCTTTCCCATTCGCTGCACACAATTCCCCCTTGAGAAGCTGCCCATGCCTCACCTTGAGGGCTGTGCTGCCCGGCCTGGGGTCTGTGGCTTCCCGTGCAGTTCTGCTGATATGGCCCCACTGCAGCGTGCATCTGTCCTCCAGAAGGCAGATGGAGAAATAAGGCTGAGCTGGACTGGGGAGAGCTGTGCTGCAGCATCTGAGCATTCCTCTGCAAGTAACCTGGTCACCCAGGGAGAGGAGCAGGCAGTGAGTAAGGGACCCAGAGGTGCCACTGGACATGCGTGTCTTTAGCAACAACGGTTCACAGGGCCCACTAACAGAACCCTTCCAGCACCATCCCAGCCACATTTTGCAGTTGTTGCTAGTAGGGTGCCAGCATTACCCATTAAGATAACAGATTCCATTTCCTCTTTCACCCAAGGAACATACCTTCAGCCACCAAGGCTGAAACTCTGGGCTCATTTTCCCTTACCGTCACACAGGGAAATGCCACCCAACAGTGTCACAGCCACCCCTTGTTGGGAAGCTTAAGGTCACGGAGCTTGGAAAACCAGCAGTCATAGGAAAGTCTTGCTGAAGCCAGAGAAAACATCTTACAAGCCCAACTACTGGCCTGCATCGAACACTCAGAGGCCGAAGGACTGGCAACAGTCAAACGTGGTGCCAGGCACCAGAACGCTTGCAGCAAACAGCGCTGGCACAGCCTCCAGGTGCTATCTCAGCACAGAATGCACGTCATCAGGCCGGGCACTTCTCAGTTACGCACCCAGCTTCACAAACAGACTTGTACCATGAGCTCCAAACTCAACTTACATACCTGGATCTTGCACAAAGCCTGACTGGTTGATGGAAGGATGCAGGAAGCTGTTCCACTGCACACCGGGCACTTGGGGCGGCACCGGATTGCCTGCACCAGACGGGTCCTGCAACACCGAGAGACAGATGAGCCACAAAGAAGGAGACTCGCCTTACTGTCAGTAACGTGCTATCCAGCAGCGCCATGCTGCTGAGAGCTGTGATTCCTGCGCACAGGAGGACAGAAGCGCAGAGTGCAACGCTGTTCTCCACCTACCAAATCATTCTCTCAGGATGCCAAACACCCAGGCACAGAGTGCTTTTCTAACTAAACCCTTCCAAAGGACACCTTCCAACTCTGATATCTACATTGATTGTGCCAGAAATGACACAACATGGGACCCAAAGGAGGGGGCAGGGGAGTTCATCCTCCTCAGGGCTGGAAGTCCTGGCATGACTGGCTCAACGGAGCCTGTTAGATCATGCTGGAAACAGCAAGGTTTCTCTTCTGTGACAAGGGGAACGACCACTGCACACTGCGTGCCACCAACACCAGGCTTGGAGCTCTGCACCACATCCTCCAGGTGCACAGAGACAGCACCAAAGCTGCTGAGATGGGCACAGATGTGACAGAGAGCTCCAGGCACTGCCGCCTTTCTGCTTAGGGCTTCACTTCCCTCACACTGCTTCCCCAATGGGAACCACAGGGCTTGGACTTGGGGAACAAAGCCTAAGCTGCAAAAAAATCCCCAAAACATCCAGTTCTAACTCCCTCCAAACACAAAGTGCTTATCTGCGATCTCCCAAGTTTGTTCTTGCTGACAAAATGCATCAGAGCAGACTCTTGCCGTCTCTGAGCCAACGCAGCTCACCGAAGGCACGCTGCCAAGGGCCCACACGCCTGCAGACCTCATCTACCACCCGCTCCACTTCACCTGCCACGCTCCAAAACCCCGACCAAAACCGTCAGCACTTGACAGCACCAACAGAATACCCACTGGGTACCAGATCCAGACAGGAACAGTCCAAGGGATGAACATCTTTCAGCTCCCTCTGTTCTCCCACGGTCGGGTACCGACTAGAGGATAACAGGTCCTTCTTTACTGGTGGTCACTCTCCGAGCACCTATCAGCTGCACAAGAGCCAAAGGGCAGCAGGAGGAGGGACGTGTGCAGATGGCCACTGCACTACTAACACCTCTCTCCACACCTACAGCACTTGGAACTTCCAGTGATGTCACAAGCAGAGGCACGGATCCCAGAGCCCATGTCACACAGCAGGGTGGGGTCCACACCAAAAAGGCCGATTTTTAAGGTGTCACTTCACCTGTTATTCATTCTCACTTCATACATGTGCGCCAACTGCACTCCTCCCCTTTCTCAACCTACCCAAGACAACTAAGACCCCAGCCACAGAACCATCTAGTGTGGTTCTGGAGTGGTCCTGTTGCATACTGCCGCAGGCCAGGAAGTACAGGGGTGAACGTACCCTCACTCCACCATAAAAGGCCACCAGATTGGTCAGGCACGATCTGCCCCTGGTGAAGCCATGCTGGCTGTCTCCAATCACCTCTTTGTCTCGTATGTACCTCAACGTAGCTTCTAGGAGGATCTGCTCCATGATCTTCCCAGGCACAGAGGTGAGGCTCACCAGCCTGCACTTCCCTGGGTCTTCCTTTCTCCCTTCCTTAAAAATGGGATTCTTCAAAAACGTTTCCCTTTTTCCAGTCACCGGGGACTTCACCAGACAGCCATGATTTTTCAAATATGATGGAGAGCAGCTCGGCAACCACATCTCTTTCAGAACCCTGGGATGGATATCATCCGTCTCCATGGACTTAAACACGTTCAATTGCATGAGGAGGACTTGGACTTGTTCCACTGTTACAGTGGGACACAAACCCCTCCCCACACCCTCATCTGGAGGCTCCAGGTCTCGGCAGACACGGGAAGCCTGACTACCTGTGAAGACTGAGGCAAAGCACTCATGGAGCACCTCAGCTTTTTCTATGTCTGACGAAGCCAGCTCTCCATTCATCAGAGAGGGAATACTCTCCTTGGCCTGCCTCTTTCTTCCCATGTACCTGTAGAACCCCTTCTTGTTATCTTTCACATCCCTCACCAAGTTCAGCTCCATCTGCGCCTTGGCTTTCCTAATCCTATCTCTACACACACGCACAACAGCCCTGTATTCCTCCCAGGATACACAACCCTGCTTCCACTCTCTGTGCGTTTCCCTCTTTTCCCACAGTTTAAGCTGCAGGTCCTTGCACAGCCACCACGGTCACCTGCCTCCCCTGCTCCATTTCCTCTGCTGGGGGATGGAGAGCCGTTGCACTCTCAGAGGGATGTCCTTAAAGAGCTGCCAGCTCTGCTCTGTGCCCATGCCCTTAAGGACACCTTTCCCAGGGGATCCCACTCAGCAGTTCCTTGAGCAGTTGGAAGTTTGCTCTCCTAAAGCACAGGGTCCTAACTCTGCTTTTTGGCAGGCCCGCGTTCCTCCAGATCACAAACTCCACCAAGGCACGGTCTCTACAGCCCGGGCTGCCTCCAATCTTAACCTCTTTGATGCTCTCCTCTGCATTAGTGAGCACCAGATCCAGTAAGGCTTCACCTCAGGTTGGTCCATCCACTACCTGGACCAGGAAGTTGTCCTCAACAGACTCTCCAGGAATCTCCTGCATTGTCTGCCACGCGCCACGCTGCCCTCCCAGCAGGCATCCGGGTGGTTGAAATCCCCCATCAGGACAAGAGCCCGCGAGCACGACACCTCCTGCAGCTGAAGCAAGAAGGTCTCATCAACAGGCTCCTCCTGATAGGGTGGCCTATAGCGGACCCCAACCACTGCATGCCCTCGGCTGGACCAATCCTTAATTTTTACCCACAAGCTCTCGACCCAATCCTGGCTGTTCCTCAGATGCAGCCCTTCACAATCCAGCTACTTCCTAACATACAGGGCAACTCCGCCACCCCTCCTACCCTGTCCATCCCTTCTGAAAAGCCTGTAGTCCTCAATCAGGGTATTCCAATCATGACATTCATCCCACCATGTTTCTGTAATAGCAATTAGGCCATGCTTTCCCAATTGTGCCACAGTTTCTAACTCCTCCTGTTGATTTCCCCATGTGAGCTGCAAGCAGTCCAGGAGACTCCCAGAGCCCACTGACAAGAACTTCCTGGCCCAGGTATCAGACAAACTGACCAGAGGAGAAGGGTTACTGGGCCAGGAGCTCACAGATTCAGAAGAGATCAATAAAGAGATTAAGATTAAAGGCAGGTTGGGCTGCAGCTACCATGCCCTGATCATGTCTGTGACCTCAAGGAATATGTGCCTGGCAAGGAGCAGTCAGGACCCTGACCTTCAGCAGAGCAAACTTCAGGCTGCTTAGGGAGTTGCTGTACGAGATCCCCTGGGAAGTTGTCCTTAGGGACAAGGAACGGAGCAGAGCTGGCAGCTCTTTCAGGATGCTCTCTTTCTGAGAGCACAAGAGCTCTGCAACCTCTGGAATAAGAAATCAAGTAGAGGAGGCAGGAAACTGGCATGGCTGGGCAAGTACCTGCTGGTCAGACTGAGGGAAAGAAGGAATTACAGGCAATGGAAGCTGGGCTGGGTGGCCTTGGAAGAACACAGAGGCTCTGTCACACACTGCCCACACCGACTCGACTCTCCCACTGCAGACACTGATCACCGTGATGAGATCCTCTCTCGGCCTTCTCTTGTCCAGACTGAACAGCCCCAGCTCTCCCAGTTTCTCCTCACAGGGGAGATGCTCCAAGCCCATTATCACCTTTGAGGCCCTCCATTGGACTCTCTCCAGCAGTTCCCTCTCTCTTGCACACTGAGGAGCCCAGAACCAGACATCGCACTGCAGCTGCGGCCTCACCAGAGGATAGCAGAGGGGAAGACAGCCTCCCTCCACCTGCCAGCCACGCTCTGCAATGCACCCTAGGATCCCATTGGCCTTCTTGGCCACCAGGGTACACTGCTGGCTCACAGCCAACCTGTTGTCCACCAGGACCCCCAGGTCCTTCTCCACAGAGCTCCAGCCCCTGACTGTGCTCTTGCACGCAGTCCTTATTCCCCAGCTGCAAGACTCTACACTTGCTCTTGCTGATCTTCATCAGGTTCAACTTCAATCAATTTCCAGAAGAAATGGCTTAATATATCTTAATATATCTTCATTCAGAATAGCGTTGTCCTGATGACAAAACGTGTGTTTTCATTGTGTCTTTGATCACAAAAAGTCAGTACGGATTTTAGAAAAAAGTCTGTCTTGTTAATAATCAAATGTTAGTTTCTTAATGAGAGAGTCAAGGATGCCAAAGCACGTGCCAAAGCAACAGAAATGTTTTTGTAATACTGTGCAAGTCCCAAGGCTTTTGAATTCTTCTTTTGATTCTCAGAAAGAATTCTGAGCAGTTTGGCCAACTTAGCACAAATGAACAGACTGCCACCAGGAAAGCTGGGTACTCCTTTGATAGAAAAGGTCTTTGGCAAATGTTCTAATTTTATTTAATGTTCTTTTTTGAAAGAACATTCACAGCTGCCTGTAAAAACAATTCGTAGAGCAACTGATAAATTTCCAACCAACTCCACGATGAGGCTGTTAAGTTCAGCCCACAAATATTTAGCAGTCATAACAGACCAGAATTAAAACATTAATTTCCATGGTGATAGCAGAGCAGCAACCATCATTTATATGGACTTAGTCTTTACTTATGTAAAAAAATCTACAACTAATCTAGTGTAAGATAAAGTATGTGAGAAATTCATAAATCATTTCCACATTCAGGATGCAAATCTGGAACATACAGCAAGTGAGTGAGCCTGGTGGAATGCTATTTAACCAAGCTGAAAGGAAAATCTTGAAGATGAATGACATTTATAGCGGAAAACACAAAAGGTTGGTACTCTCAGCTTCCTCCAGACTTGCTAAAAAAGAGAGAAAGTGACAAAGAGGAGACCAAGATCAGGAGATGTGCTTAAATCCTAGCAGCAATTGCAGCACTGCATACAGCCCGCAGTTCAGGTAACAGGCTGAAGAGCTACACAGCGCAGTGTGAAAGCTGAATCTTCAAGTGCTTTTCTGCTCCCCACTGTACAGCAAAATGTGGAGCCAGTAACTTTTGTGAAGCTCATCTGAATATGTGTCCCATCTGATGCCACTGGCTTCAGCAGAGCTGACTGCTTCAGTGAGCCAAACCAATTCAATTATTTGATATGGAAGCGCTTCAGTTCTGCTTACTATTTTCAGGAGCTGTACAGATGCCAGCATGGACAAAAACATACTTATTTCCGGGAATCTCAAGCATGTCAATACTTTCCCAACAGAACCTCGCAGGTTTCCCACACAATACATCACAAGGAGGTCCTGCCCCCTAAAACTACAGCACGTGACTTCCCGACCAAACTTCACACTGCTAAGAAGTGCCAGAACTCCATTCTGTCACAGAACTAAGGTGAGTTACAAATTTGGTTAATGCCCTCTATCTATTCATATGCGCTTTTTCTCCAGTCTGTTCACTTTTATTCTTAACATCCCCAGCTGCACTGAACTGTGGATGAGAATTTAAACCTTAGATGTTATTTTAACAAAATATGTCTCACCCTATAAGGCATCATAAGAAAAATTAGAAAAGAGAAATAAGCATGAAGGGCAATTAACTCTTACCCATCATGAGCAGAGGGTGAGAAATCTTACTCAGAATCCACAACGACAAACGATGCTTCCATGCTGATTGCATTCCATGCCACAGAACGGCCAAAAACTCCATCAGCCAAGCACTGGCAGAAAACAAGAGTACACATTTTTAGCATTTCATCACGAATTAAAAGTATAGACTTAGTTTACTATTAAAATTAAAAGGGAAAAAAAAATCTTTATACACATATACATTAGTCTCCAAGTTGCCAGGCATCAGTTGTCAATGGAGAAAAGCCACATTTGACATCTGCTTCTATAGCAGAGTCCATCTGGCTTTTAAAAATTATTCTCTTGAGGATAAAGACGTTCCAGTGCTTTGTCTTTACGAAGCACTTAATGATACGCATCGAATTTGGCAGCCAGCAGAAGAGAAGACCTCCTAAGGGCGGCCTTCAATATCTCAAGGGGGGCTGCAGAAAGCAAGGGACAGATCTTTAGATTGGACATAAGGATGAAGTCCGTTACAATAAGCGTGGCACTGGAACAGGGACACTGAGGGCCCCTGGGGCTCTCCAGAGCCCTGAGCACTGGGCATGGATGGGATGGAAGGCACCAACCCCCACCCCTTTCCAGGGGGACCACTGCCACCCCCAGACCTTCCCTCATGCTCTGTGGTGCAGAGGAGGAGGGTCTCGAGCTGACTACGGATGGCCCAGGGTCACTGTGGAGGTGGGACAGGGACTGTGGCTGCTGTCCCCAGGGGACCCACATCCTGCCCTGGGCTGCTGCCAGCCCTCCTCCTGCCCAAAGTCCTGGGGCACAAACCCTGCACGGACACGGCTTCTCCATGTTCAGTGACACCTTCCGACATCCTCTGCTGACCAATGGAGCCCTCTGAAGAAGAAGGAAGACCCTGATGATCGCTGACATCCTCCAGTGATCAATGAAGACCTCAGCTAAGCCACACTCTGTGTGTCTGCGTCCTTATCCCCATGCTCAGCAGGAACCGCTCACATCTGTCCCTGCCTGGCAGAGGCCATCCCTAGGTGCTTGAGGGGTCCCCAGCTCCGTGCCCCGCACTCCACGTCCTGCACCCGTGGATCTCTCCATCTCCTCTGTGCTGCCTCCTCCAAAATCCTAAAGGACGGAGCACCCCATGCCGCCTAGCAGCCCCAGTACCTGCCCTCTGCTCTCTCCCAATTCCTCCTTCCAGTTCCTGCCAAACCCTTCACCCTCTGTTCCACCTCCGTGGGCACGATGTCCCCAGGTCACTCTCCTTTTACCCCCTCCCTTATCGCAGCCAATTGCCCCTCACTTGGATCTGCTTCAGCCCTCCACCTTCAGTCCCACTTCCCCTCCATCACTACCCAACATGGAGTCCCCAAATCCCCTCTCTCAGGCACCTCAAATCTCCTCTCTGATGACCGATGACACCGTTGATTAATTAAGCCCTCTAAGCGTCAGTGAAGATCTCTGATGATCAGTGGAGCCCTCTGACAGCCAACAAAGCCTTCAGATGACCACTGACAATCTCTGATAGTAAACTGAGCCCCCGATGATCAAAGTGCAGGAAAGGGAAGTGAAGGGAGAGAAAGAATATTTTGACATCATTTGGTTGAAAGCATCATGGTATAAAGACTTCTTAGGATTTAATCAAGCACAGAATCTGGAGAGAACTGTGACTGCATCACGCTTGAGTGTGCTGCCCGGTGCCCGGGACCGGCTGCCTGACTCTAATCCTCCTCCAAGAGGTTCGGCTGCTCCACAGCGATGCCGACCCGCTCCTCGTGGAGGTGCTGCTGTGCGGGCACTTGGACTCCGCTCGGGGTGGGCTGCGTTGCCGTCCCCAGCGTCCCCGCCCCCCTCGTCCTCTGCCCGCAGCCCCAGCCGGGGCCCGGCCGCCCCGGGGCCCTGGAAGTGGAGCGGGCGCACGGCGCGGGGCAGCGCCGTGGGCGGGCGGGCAGGAAGGCCGGGCCGGGCAGGCCGGGCGGGGCCAGGGCCATGCGGGACGCGCGCGGAGATGACGCAATGACGGCGCGACCGCGGCCGGAACGGAGCCCGCACGGAGCGCCCGCCCCAGCCGGCGGACCGACCAATGGCAGCGCGGAGGTGGGGGGGCGAGAGCGGGCTCTCCGCCAATGGCGGCCTCGGACAGGGGGTCGGTATGATGGCGGAGCCGCGGAGCTCCCCGCGGGGGAAGCGGTGCTTAGCCGCCCAGCCGCCCCACCGCTCCACGTCCTCGCCGCCGCCCGCCCCGTGCAGGTAGGTGCGGAGAGGACGGGGCCAGGCTGCACTCGGCGGTGCCCTGCAGCGGGACCGGAGGCACTGGGCACATGCTGCAGCGCAGCAGGTTTCCCCGCAGGGCTGCCACAGCCGCGCTGCTTCCCCGTTTTGGGTAACACTACTGGACATGTATGGCTGGGCTAACGAGACCCCACTGTGGCACGCATGCTAGGAGGAGCGATCCCCCTTGCGCCCGGCGTGTGGCGCAGCGCTGAAAGAAAGACGTCTCTGCTCTCCTAACCTGGCGTAGGTTCGAGAGTTTGATTCCGCAGAGCAGTTGGGCACCCCAGATGGGACACTCTCTGTTCGGCTGCAGGACCAGTTGAGGAGGGAGACGCCTTTGGCGCGCCCCGAGAATTCTTGGAAGGACTCCCCCTGCTCATCCGATCACCGCGGGGACAGACGGGGACCATCTGGAAGCGGACCAGGTACGTTTAAAGGGAAGGCTCCGTAAGGCGTACGCAGGAGCCGGGGACTCCGTCAGACGTGAGGGGCCGCCCCACGCGGGAGGGCTTTACCCTGCGGGTGGACTGGTGCAGGGGTGCGGGACGGGAAGGTAATGACCGGGAAGGACAGGTGCCTTGTAGCACTGTGTCTGATTGCAGGAATTGTGGGTTCGAGCCCCACCTCTGGCTAGCACTTGTAAGCTAGGCTAGCGCTTGGGCACTGGTGATCACGAGTTCATAACCATCTAGAACTCACGTCAATTCCGGGGATTGTGGGTTAGAGTCCCACCCGAGTTAGCGAGGTACAGTGCTGACAGCTGTCAAGTGATAACCTGCATCACTGCAGCCGCGGCAGTAGGAATAATGATCTGCGCTGTTGTTGCCATCTGCAAATGTCCAGCGCTGTGTGTTTGAACAACTGCTATTGGTATATTTGGGATTTTAATTTGAGGAAGCTACTGAGTTTAACTTTTTTTTGTTTTTAAATGAGCATATTTATTGGAGAATTCAGGATCTCTCCTGAAGTGCATGTATTGTGCATGTATTTGATGTGATAAATCTTAAGCCTTGACTTGAGCCCTTTTTGCTCATCTGTGTACAGATGCACGATTTCAGGCCAGCCTCTGTTTTCTGTAAGACTCCGTTATTAAAGTGTATTTGCATGCAGTGGCTGTGAAGTTCAAGGTCCTGGCGACAGATTGCATTGAGGACCAGGTCAGAAGACCTGGAAAATGGGGCCTTGTCAACTCCTTTGACTGCTTCTTTAAACGAGTCCTGGCAGATGGCTGCTCAGAGCTGTATTCTCTGCTTTATTGATGTGCACATAAAAGACTGGTGCTGCAGCTGACTGCAGGTCCTGTTATTCCATCCCCACAAAAGATATTCTGAGAATCTGTGTTTTTCTGTTCCTATTATTAGTGTTACTTCATTATTAGGATGATAGCTTATTGAGGAACGTAGACTGCTCTGAAAGGAATGCCTCCTATTTATTTCCACAGAAATGACAACGGATACATAGGGCGAGTTCTCAACTACAAAGCTGTTTTTCAACATGGTCACCACCATTAACTATCGTTTTGTTGGTTTTTGTTTTTTTCTTCCAGTGTTGAGTGAGAGCCTGCGTGCTGTGCTTGTTTAAAAAGAAATCATAATAATTAAAATAGATCCTTTTGCTGTCTGGGTGGCTCGTCTTGCATTGCTGCGCCACTGCTGAAATGCACCACCACTGCTTCACTGCACTCACCTCCACGTGTCGGGCTTCATAAATGTTCTGCAGGCATTGATGGATGTCAGTGGTGCGATTTTTTCAGTGTGGAGGAGTTCAGGGACACCCTGTGCTCCATGAGCACTTCCGAGCTTGGTGCTGTGCTGTCATTCTGGCCCTCTGCTGCCGTCTGTGGCACGGCTGCAAACTGTAACTGAGTGCTGGCAGGAAGGTTCAGCCTCTGCTGTCATCCCACCAGCGTCCACCTGTGATGTTGTGGGCCGGCTTTATAGGACAGGAGGCATTACTTTTGGATCAGCCCTTGTGTAGTTATGAAAAATTAAGGTTTATAAAGGCTGGCTGAGTAAATTGGTGGCTGCTAATGAGATCCACAACTACAGGAAAACAGTAGTTAGACACTGACAGCTTTCAAGGTCAGTTTAGATTACCTGGCTGTGTTGGGTTATTTTTTATTTAATGTTGTGTTTCATTGCAGTATTTTCTGAAAAATCCTCAAGTGTGGCATTCCGAATCTGCCAACTCTGGTATTCTTGAGCAACTCCATCCTGTAAAGGTAAGTGGATTACTTCTCATACTCGATTGTAAAAGTGCTGTTAAGAACTGGTATTGCAAGAAAGAAGCCTTCTTTTGTTTTATAATACAGAATTACAAAGTCAGAAGTAGAATCCTGTAGGTGGAAGTAATGTAATGTAAGTTGTACTCGTCGTATTCTGAGAGGAATTTTGGGGTCTTTGGTGTGCATTCATAAAGTGCTGATTAGTCTGGTGATGCAGATTGTTTTGGAGGTCTCAAACACGGCAGCCTTTTAGCAGATACACGCTTTGAGAGTAGTGATTGACGTGGTTCCAGCGTGACAGTGCAGGACATGGCTGTCCTTTTCCATCTTCAGGCCCACCTTACTGCCTTTTCATCCTGTGCACTGAATTGCAGTGGCATGTCAGTATCGAATCCCTCAGCACTGTGCTGAGCCTCACCTTACTCATACTCACCCACTGGACGTTACTCAGCTTTAGCAATCATGTTTCTGCTACAGAAGGGCTTGCCGGATATCTGTAGTATTGATCCGGCCCGAAGGTGACAACCTTCCAACCTGCTGGTCTCTGCCCATGTTCTCTGTCACAACATCGGATGTGTGTGCTCGCTGGATGCACTGGTAAGAAATGTTTTTGAGAAGAGAACCTCGTGCTTCCCAGAGCAGTAAGACTGTGAGGATTTGGGAGGCCCTTCACAAACCTGGTTAGAGTGTGCTTTCCGAAACGGCGTGCTGTTAAAGCAGCCTTTCTCAAAAGCAGAGCGTTGTGCCTGGTGTGACTTAAATCCCACCCACAAAGGAGCATTCCCTGCAGTCTCTGATCTCAGGTGCGTGTTTCCCCCACTGCTGGAACTGCTGGACTTTCACGCCTTCACTGTGTGTGTTTGGGTCTCTTTATTAGCTCTGTTTGTTCTACTAGCTGTATGCAAACGTATCAGGAGGTAATGAAAAGATCTTTGAAAATAGCTTGGAGATATTAACCTGAGGCAAGAAGGTGAATTTTACTGCCTTAAATTAGGTTTCAGAGGATGTCCTTGAACTCAGAAGCTTGGGCTTTGTTGTAGCCTGATATTTACTGCTTGAACTTTAACTCTAGGACTGGAGGGGGAGCTTTTCTTCACACCTTCCTGTGTATGAAATCTACACTTGAACTGCACTCGAGACGGGCAGAAATGTAGCTGAGCAGAGCCTCCAGCAGCTCAGCCCTTTCCTTCAGACTATGAAGATGGCTTTAATATTCGTAAGTCAGAAATCTCGTGTCAAGACTTAATTCTGATATGGACACAGCCTCACTGTGGGAAACGTAGCAGGTGTGGTCTTTGAGTCACCACAGGTGTGGGACACGTGAAGTAATCTGGACATGTTTCAATTTCTGTGTATTTTTCCCCGTTTCTCTGATCATTTCTCTGTATTGCTGCATCTGGCAGGGATTGCTGTCCTGGCCCAGAGCTCTGTTCCCTCATGGGCTGCACTCGTTTTGCTATCCCACCATTTGGGTTGCACAGGCCATCCATGTCCATTGTTCCCATCCTCCTGGGCTTCCACACACATGGCAGTTAGCAAGAAAGAGCAAAGAAAGAGCAAGCTGTTCAACCTTGTCCTAAAGTTATCAATCTGTTCATCCAGCTTGTGCCTTGGTCACAGTGGCAGCGTGCCGTTAGCAATACCATCACTGCACTCAGGTCACAAGCTCTGACAGCAGGCACTGGGGATAATTTCAGGTGAGGCCGTTCTTCACATCCAGGCACACGGATGGTATCTTTTTCCAAATGGACCGTGCTGGTAGGCGGGTAAATCCAGTCGTGCAGGATCTGCAAAATAAAATTATGTACTACGTACATATTTCTCCAGAGCGGTGGTGATCTGAGGTGGATCTCCTTTTCTCACAGCTGTTTTTAAAACTGGCAGTACCAACAACTGTGCTGTTCTGTCATGGGTTTGAATTAAATCTTGGGTTTAATTAAATCTTGTTCACTGCTGTTGAACAGAATTTGATTCATCCTTGATAATCTGCATCCATTACTCCTCTCGTGACATGAATTTTCTTCCTCCAAAACCCAAGGGAACCTTTTTCTTTCCATGTTTTTGCCAGAAGCTCCAATTGGCACGTGCCCCATTTGCAGACACGTTTAACTCTGTTTCTGCTTTTTGCATGGGCCCTAAGTCTGAGGCCCTTTGAAGAGCCTTTGTTGCTAATTCAAAGGCAACCTGCTGTTCGTTTCCCCCTCCAACTCTTCCTTGTCGCTTTGTATATAAACAACAGGTTAAAATTTGTCCTAGGTATGGAACGTGCTGTCTCCAAAAACCAAACAGCCCAATACACTGTTGTGCCTCATTCTTATTACAGGGTACTGCCAAGTCTAAAACGTTGTGTTGAGTTTTGAGTAGTATTCCCCAATGCCCAAAATGCCTCTGAATTCCTAAAAATGTCACTTTTTGAATTTCAGTAGGATGAATTTCCCAGCCTTTCTGTTTCATCTGATCCACAACCAATGCCAGCATTTGTTGCACCCCTTCTTTGGTTTCCCTGAGTCAGGACGTCATCTACGTAATGAACTGTTTGCATGTGAGGAGGCAGTTTGGTGTCATGCAGATGTTCAGCCACAGTTCTGTGGCAGATGGTTGGGCTGTGCAGCCGTCCCTGAGGCAATCTACAGACAGGATCTTGTCACCTCTGCCACGGGAAGGCGTTCCTCTGCAATCAGGATCGTGAAGAAGCTAGCATTAGCTAAATCAATTACAGCATGCCCTGTTCTGAATGGTTCTGAGCTTTTTCTGTTAAAGCAACACTACCTGCTACAGCCGCTGTGTGAGGCGGGATGAGCTTGTTTAATTCCTCCCACAACCCACCGCTTTTTGACAGGCCATGTTGGATTGTTCCGAGCTGTAGTAGCTGACTTAAAACTCCTGCACCCAATAAATCATTAATTGTCCTTGATATCTCTTCATGCTCCCCCCCCCCAGGTCCTGTACTGTTTCACTGTCGCTACTTCAGTTGCAGCAGGAATCTGCACAGCAGGCATTGTTACTTTTCCCACTGAAATTGTCGGAGCATGAATGCAATTCCTTATTCCAAATTGGGGCTGAGCACTGGGGAGATTCAGTGTTAGTCATTTTAGAATGCCCATCCCTGCGATGTATTCTGGGGCGGGGACAGTCATCACAGGATGCAGTCATTGTGGGAGGTTTTCTATTCTCATTTCTATTTGTGTTTGTACAGCTTCAGGTTGTTTCCCTCCCAACCCTATAATAACTACCAGTTGTCGTTCACGTTTCTTGGGGTTCCCATATGTTAAGGAGGCCTCTGCTCTGGGGTCATTTAAGGCTCTTACAGTTTGTGAGGACCCGTTTTTCCAAAATATTTGTAGCTCCATGAGGGTTTGTTGGTCCTGCACCTGTTGCATTGGAGCTTGGCCATCGTTTCATTCTTGTCTTTACGTGGAGCTGCTTCCGTAGCCTCCTTCCAAGGATACAAACTGGAACATGGTTCCCAGTCCTTTTCCCCCAGAGCAGCTGATCCTCTCGCGTTGGGCCCTGTGAGCAGATGAGAGTCCCATTGAGGCTCTCAAGGGAGTGCAGTAGCTGGAATTGTTCCTGGGCTGTTTGCTTTAGAATGTGGCATTTTCTTGCTAGGTTTCTTAACCCCTCTGTTTATGTATCCTCTGTAATTCAGGAATTGGAAAACCATCCATCTTACTGTGAGGCATCCTGTCTTGAAATAAAGCTGTAAACACTTATTTCAAGGAATCCTTTTTTTCACTGCCTTTCTGCTCTTCCCTCTTGTCCATTCTCCCCTACCATCTCCTGCTTTCCCCTGCCCCATTGGCTCTGCTCCTCTTACCTCTATACTTTCTTCTCTTCTGCCCTCTTTGTCAGGGCAGTCCTGCCCTTCTCTGGCAGGACGAGTGATAGGGACAGGGGCAGGAGAGATCGGCAGGAGAGGGAAAAGAGAGGGACGGGCAGTGATAGGAGGATAAAGAAAAGGGTGAGAGTAGGTGTGGAGGTAGTGGTAGGGTTGGGGTAGGGACAGGAACACAGGCAAGGTAAGGTGGAGGATCCAGGGACAAGATGAGATTAGGAATGGGCTAAACGGAATGGGGGCAGAACAGGGCCTGGTCGGGCTACATCAGAGGCAGGAGAGGGACTCAAAAGGGGCAGGACTGGAGACGGGCACTGGGACTGCTGACACTTTGTGGTGGTGAGGATGAAGGGATGCCTGCTGCATTTCCTGGCTCGTGAGTAGTAGAAGATGGTGGGGATTTCTCTCTTTTTATTTATTTTCTCCAAAAAGCTTATTCATTGCATTGAATAGTGACTTAGCATAATTAATGTAAACGTTCAACTTGTCAGCTTGTTCTCTGTGAGTGTGGAGCATGGACGGACTTGCTGTGCTTTGTGTGCATATTGCCTGTAGATCTGGAGGTGGGGAAGCTGCTCCAGTGACTGCAGAAGGAGTTGGAGCTGCACTGTGCCTGGTTACAGGTCAGCATCGTAGTCTTGGTCTGTCTGACTTGACTGGTTAAAGGTGACACATTGGCACAGCTGTGCTGGGTTTAATGGTGACACATTGGCACAGCTGTGCTGGGCTTAATGGTAACATTGGCACAGCTTTGCTGGGTTTAATGGTGGCACATTGGCACAGCTCTGCTGGGCTTAATGGTGGCACATGGAACAGCTCTGCTGGGTTTAATGGTGGCACATGGCACAGCTCTGCTGACTTTGATGGTGACACATGGCACAGCTCTGCTGGGCTTGATGGTGGCACATGGCACAGCTCTGCTGGGCTTGATGGTGGCACATAGGCACAGCTCTGCTGGGCTTCATGGTGACACATTGGCACAGCTCTGCTGGGCTTCATGGTGGCACATGGAACAGCTCTGCTGGGTTTAATGGTGGCACATGGCACAGCTCTGCTGACTTTGATGGTGACACATGGCACAGCTCTGCTGGGCTTGATGGTGGCACATAGGCACAGCTCTGCTAGGCTTCATGGTGACACATTGGCACAGCTCTGCTGGGCTTGATGGTGACACATTGGCACAGCTCTGCTGACTTTGATGGTGGCACATTGGCACAGCTCTGCTGGCTTTAATGGTGGCACATAGGCACAGTGTCACGGGGTTGAACAGATCAATCTGTGTCTGTGACGGGGCAACAGGCTACTGCCCTTCCCCCCCACCCCCCCCCCACCCCCTCCTCACCCCAGTCCCACAAAAAATGGGAAGGAAGGAAGGGAGGAAAAGAGCAGCGGCAGCAATCTATGGAGGAAAACTTATTTTACTATAATATCGGAATACAAGATAACACAATATATGCAATGTAATTGAAATTGAGATTAATAAATTAGATAATATGAGAGAGAGTTCCCGGGACCGAGTCAAACCTGAAAAGCTTGGAACGGCCAGGAAAGCACCTCCAGCACCCACTGCAAGGCAGCAAGAGAGCGCCCCCCCCACCCGGAAGGGCCAGATCCCGTGACTTCTGTAATGTACAGGGATAGGTACTTGGAATTGGGGCAGTGACACTTAAATGCCCCGTACACTACATGATGTTCTGATGTGGAATACTGAAACCCAAAAACAAAAAAGCATAGAAACATGACAATGGTAAATTCTGGGATACATAACTTCTATTTTAACAGCTTGCATTCTGTATCATTGTTCCTCTTATGAGTAATTTCTTGTTCCCGCAACTGATAAGTGATGATTGTAGCCATGCTGCTAAATATGTTGGAGCTGGTGCCAAAAGGGCATGAGAGAGTGCTGCTGTTGTATTCAATTAATTTTAATGAGACCTGGGAGCAAACCTGCTGAAGGACTTAAAGAACTGTCTCAAGTAGACAATACTGGGACTTGGAAGACTAGGAATTTGTTTCTGCAGTCCTGGTTAAATTATTTGAAACAGCAGCACTTCAAACATTGATTGCATGAAAACAAACACGTTTTTTAGTCTATCTTATAATTTAGAAACTACAAAACTTGAAGACAGTGCTAGGTGTTTTCAGGTTGACTCCTCCCCATGCATACACTGCCATGTGTTTTGGTGACCTCGTTGTCACAGTTCATAAGTACTGAGGCTGGATGGAAAACCAGGCTGCAGTAATTATTTGAAAAGATAAAGGCAGTGTAGCTTAGTAATAAGACTTGAGTACAGTTCTTAATACTGCCTCCCAAATGGCCTGCATGGGAAAAAAGTCTGACGGCGTTTACAGAAGGCATGTATTCTCCCTTCCACAGCCTTAACTTTTCCATGTTGTGTCACATCTCTTCTTGACACTGTTACGCATGCTGCCTCTGAAGTTGTTGCAAATAGTAAATGGGAAATCAATCAGTGCAAGCAGGTGGCTTTTTCTTTACAATCATCCAATGTTCAGAGAATGCAGACAAGTTGTTTGGTGAATAACTTTTCTTTGTAATGTCAAAGCTGTGCAGCTGATAGCAGTTCTTGGACTGAAGCATTTTTACAGAGTGCAGCTAAGCTGCCTTTTGTGTGTGAAGTAGAAAATGTGGCTACATGTGTGCCTGACTTCAAACCACCACCTTTTGCACGTTTACTTTTGTGACTTACAAATTCTGAAATAGCTTTCCAATGAGGAGAGAAACACCAAGTAAAGATTTTTCTTTCCTTCTGACACGTCTAGCGTGAGGAAGTGTGAACGGTTCTGCATCCACGTCCACAGAGAACGGAGGGGCCAGTGCAGTTCACTGGCAGCTGCAAAACATCTTCAGAACTGAGCCCTGAGGGTGCAGCAGCAGCAACAACAAAAGCTCCTGCAGCTGCTGCGCTCAGCACATCCACACCAAGACAAGAGCAGCCAGCAAGTCCTCCAACTCGGGCATAACTACGGTCAGCCAAGGTCCTCTTCCACCCGGCTATGAGCTGAATGAATTTTCTGCTGCCTTTTCTTTTCTCTTATTTTTAGCACACCGAAATACATGTCACATCTGTCTTTTGCTGCGTAACAGAAATTGCCAAAAGCTTTTAAAGTGGGGGTTTTCTAAACTGTTTGACCTAGTAGACCTTCTAGTATGTGTGTGTATGTGTGTGTGTGTGTGGTTTAATCAAGAAAGGAATTAAATTTTAAGGAGTTATGATGCTTGCTGTGAACTGCTAAGTCAGTGAGACGACTTGCTGTCCTCAAATGAGAAAGAAGTCAAACAGTAAGGAAGTGGTATAAATGAGCAGAAGGAAAGTCACTGTGGCAGGACATAATCTGCTGTGTGGCTTTAAATGTCACCGTTCATACACTGCACCTCCTGAGAGCAGGGTGGGTGCAGACATTTCATACCCACATGGAATTTGTCCGATGATTGGTCTGTTGCCTCAAAGATATGAAATAATATCCTATAATAAATTAAATCTTATTATAAATAATATCTTAACTTTGAGAAATAGAAATGTTTCTGTACTCTGAGTGAGGGAATGCAAGAGCTTCCTAATGTGAGTGGCACAATAGGTGAGTTAAATGTAGCTGCAGTTAAAGCAGCAGGTGGTGGAGGCTTGGATTCCCGTACCTACAGGATAACTGTGACAGCAATTCTGAAAACATCAGTTGTTGCTTCACCACTTTTATTTCATTAGAAATGGGAAATCACTGCGCGTTTTCTTCCGTGTTGCATTTGATGCAAACACAGGAGTAAGGCAGCGTCCCAAACGCTGCATGTTCAGGAAATGCAACGTCAGTGCCCTGGTAATGAACTGCCTGTATGTGATGTGCAGAGGGCAAAGGAGGCTGCGGTCCCTTTCCTTGGCTTCGGCTCCTCTGTGCCCTGTTGCTGGCCGCAGAGAAGGGCTGCCCACTGGGCACAGGGAGCGCCTTCTCGCTGCCGTCCCGTGCCCTGCAGCCCCCTCCTCATCCCGTGCGGAATGCCACTCCCAGCAGCACAGGTGCCATTGTGGAACCTTGCCCATGTCACAGCCGTCACCTTGGTCACTGCCGCCCCACCCGGCGCACTCGTCTCTGAGAGTGCTGGGCAGGTGGCAGCCATGTCCAGCACGAAGAGAGCGAGAGTGGAAGAGAGCGTAGTTATAAATGGGAAGAGGGAGCTGGGGGCCCCAGAACCGAAGAGGAGGAGGGGGCCCACCATGACCATCAGGCAGAGGAGGGAGAGGAGGAAGAGAGCCCGGTTCCATCGCGCCCGGGCCAGCGCTGTGAGCCACCATGGGGAGCCTATGGAGGTGGATCCGCCTCCAGAGGAGCCCATGGAGGTGGATCCGCCTCCAGAGGAGCCCATGGAGGTGGATCCGCCTGCGGCACAGCTGGCCTGGCACCACACCACTGTGCCAGGCCCCGTGTTGGCGTGCTCACAGCTTCACCATCGCTGGTCCGGGCGCTCGGCTCCTTAACCGCTGCGCGGCCCCCACCCCCGGCATTAGCTGGGTGGCATTGCTGACATCTGCTCCTCCTCCACCTTGTTGCTCCTCTGCGGTTCTGCGGGCCCCCAGTTCCATCTTCCCCCCGTAGGAGTTAGGTGCCACTTCTGGGCTTTGTTGTTGATTTTAGTGTTAGCTTAGTTTTAGTGTTCAGTTCAGTTTTAGCATTAGGCATAGGTTACTGTTAGGAGTTTAGAGTTAGGCATAGGTTACTGTTAGGAGTGTAGAGTTAGGCATAGGTTGCTGCTGCCAACTGGCAGTAAATGCTGCTGACTTGGTAAGCCCTCCCCGAGTTCTCATGCAGAGAAATGAGTGCGACTGCCCTGAGAAGGGAGGTTTGAGGATGTCTGCAATGAATTGAATTTCCATCTTGTGACTTTTCTGTTGCAGAACATCGAGGAATGTGAGTGGCTGAGAAATGGAGTTAGGACTCAGGGGAGCAATTGAGCAATAGGTGCCTGTGTCACAACCTTCCTCAGCAGCCCTTGCAAGGTAGGTGTGCCTTACTGTGAGCGTGCACTAAGGCACTGCTGTTCACAGCTGGTGGCACTGTCTGCAGCAGGTCTGCTTTCTGTTAAGCTTTGCCCTTCTTTTGTGTCCACCTGTCCTTTTCAGCTCCTGCTCCCCTCGTCTGCAAGTGGAGCAATGCTCAAATTTGAGGAATCTTTTCCTTGGCAGGCGGTAAAAGACGACGCAGCTGCAAGTTTCGTGTCCTTCATTGTTATTGGGTCAGTAGACCAAGGAGATGTTCAGAACAGCTCTCTAAGTCAGCCTGTAACAACAGTGTGCATGAGAGAATAACGACTCCTTCTCCCCTATTGTAGAAAGCAGCCTCCTTGAGAGCAGGAGAGCAGCGGGCTGCCTGCTGTGTGGCTGCTGAAGGGCATTTCTCCCAGCTGAGATCCCCGAGCCCACACTGGCGGAGAACGTGCTGCGCCACCATCTCTTCTGTGGAGCCACTTTGCAGCTGCTCTGTGCGCTGGCTGTAATTGTGCCAGTTTCCAGGTGCCATAAGCCAGTAAGTCGTGCTCTCTGAGGCTGATAGAAAGGCACAGGCAATGGGCAGGGAGGGAACAATCTGTAGCTGTGGCCTACGGTGCTGTGCCCGGCACTGCTGAGAGTGCCGTCGTTTGTCCTGCCCTTCCTTTCATGTGCGCGTGTTCCTGATGCACGCCAGGAGCCTTGGGGTGCAAGCTCATCTGCTGCTGCTGCTGCTGTGCTGTGTGTGCTGCCAGGCAGTGTCCAAGCCCTGTGCAGGCACTGCCTTGCAGGAGATGGCTTTGGGTTCCAGTTCGTATGGGACTTTGGGGAAGGAGATAGAGGTGGAGTTGGAGTTTCTGGCGTGCCCTGATGGCAGGAAGGCGGTTTCCAGTGCTGGCAGCCAAAGCTGCCCGGGCGGTGACTTGAGCTCCCCAGGCGAGCTGTCAGCCCCTTGTTACCTGTGAAGGTTCCCTGACCGTTTCTGCCTTGATTCTTGTAGGACTGGCACAGTCTTGGGACTCTGTCTGGCGAGACAGTGAAGAAAGCCAAGGCAAGTGCTGCTCTGCTGAGGAAGAAAGCCCAGAAGGAGAGCAAAAAGAACCGAGAAGGGCTTGAGCGAGAAGGCCCACAGGACACTCGAATCAGCTGGAATGCTTCCTCAGAGGTGGCACCAAAGGCAGCGGACTGAGTCAGCGTCCAGTTTTCTGGCATGGCCGTGCTTTCCCTGTCACAGACAGTGCCGCAGAACTGAGGCACCTGGAAGGGAAGGGCTTGTGCTGCATTCCAAGCAAAGAGGGCTTGCCAGCAGGTCTGCATCTATGGCAAGACATGGAGAGGCTGTGTTCCTTCAGGCTGCGTCTCTTCAGGGCCAGGGCCAGTGTAGTGTGAGATTGAAGTACGGCAAGCCGGGCCTGGAGGGAGAGGAGCTGACGTAGCCATAGGATCAGGCTTCTCCTTGTGTCTGCCTGGAGGCTGAATGACTCATTGCTAAGCAGAAACCCTGGACGCTGGGGTTTCATTTTGGGCTGTGTTGATAAATACAACCCAGAGCCTTTTGTATTGAATAAAAGCAAAACCAACTTTTTAAACACGGTGCTGCCTCTTTCTGTAGCTGGTAAAAGGTCCCGTGCTTGGGCTGGCAATCGCGGGGCCATGAACCAGTCGGCTCTCCCCTGAAATTCTGCTGGTTTTCCCCCGTTTCCTTGTTGGTCTTCCCAACAGGTGGCCTTTCAGCCCATCCGTAACTGCTGGCCACAGGCTGTGAGCATCCCTTTGCTCTCCAAGGATCGCTAGCAAAAGCACAAAGGAGGGGAAGCGGCCCCGGAGGAAGAAAGGTGTCCCTGCACTCAGCCCCTTGAGCTTGCCTCTCTTCCTGGTGGCTTTCTCAGCCTTGGGCTGTGCTGAGGGTTGCTGTTTGCCCCAGGAAGCCCAGCTGCACACGGGCAGCCGTGGCCTGCACATCAGCCTGGCGTTGGGGCACGAGGAGGTGAGGTGTGGGTGGGATGGCGTGAAGAGCAGCGCTGGGAGCGGGGAGGAGGAGAGGGCAGCGGGTGGGCGGCAGGGGAATGTGCCTCGGAGGACACTGAGCCGTGCTGCGCTGCTTCAGCTCCAGTGGCTTCAAGCGCGTTACGGCAGTGCCGCGTGTTGTACCAGGGTGCTGTGAGGGCACTTTGCTGAGCCATGAGGGGCGATTGCTCTGCCAAGTGTTTTCCTGTCGCTCCTTGGAGTTTCTGCGTTTGAATTACTGCACTATGATGTGCTGTTTCAACTGCTCCTCGTACCTCTGCATCATCTGCAGACTGTGCTGCCAGGTCCCTGGTGGAGTGGTGGAACGTTACTGGTGCTGGGTAGAGGCCAAGGCACCTTTCTATCAACTGGCTTCCAGCTGAGCTTTTTGCCAGTTCTTGCAGCCCTCTCTGTCTGGCCCTTGGGGTAGTTTTGTGCCCACCTCATAGCCCTCTTTTTTAGCTGGTATGTCATCAACTTGCCTATGAGGCTGTCGTGGGAGAGAGTGAGGAAAGCCTTATTGAGGTGGAGAGAAATAGAATTCACCAGTGTTTTCTTTCCCACCAAACTTCCCCACCCCTCCCCCCCATACAAAGCTGTCACATTGGTACCCAGTGGTTTCCCCTTTGTTTTCTGTCACCCTTTTCCTTAACGAGTCTGGGGACGACTCCTATTTTGTTTGTATGTATTAAGCATGATGTAGTGATGTAGAATAAGGGGGGGAATGTCATGGTTTTATGATTTGGGTTATCAGCATTCCACACCATAACATCAGGTAATGCACTGGGAGTTTGACTGCTGATGCTCAAATTCCAGGAGCCTGTCTGGAGGAGAAGTAGAAACTATGGGAGCGCACGGCCATCAAGTCAACCCGCAGAGCATTACAGGAGCACATGGTCATCAGGTCAACCCGTAGAGCTCTATGGGAGAGAATGGACATCAGATCAACCCATAGAGCTTTATTGGAGTACACGGGCATCAGATCATCCCGTATAGAGCTAAAGAGAAAGCACGGCCATCAGGTCAACCCGTAGAACTCTATGGCAGAACACGGCTATCAGGTCAACCCGTTTTGCCCATAGGGTGCACAAGGGGCTCTCCCTCGTCATACACGGCTCTGTGATGTCATAATGAATTAAAGGGCATTGTGATGTCATAATGGGGAATTGTGACGTCACAATGGGGTATTTTGAGGTCATAATAGGGCATTGCTATGTCACAATGGGGTATTGTGAGTCCACAATGAGGTGTTGTTCTGGGAGAAAAAGCCACATTTAAGGGGTAAACCAGGGATTTATGGGAGAAAACCCCAGATTTAAGGGGAAGAACAGGGATTTCTGGGAGAAAAATCCACATTTAAGGATAAAAACCAGGATTTCTGGAGAAAACCCCTGATTTAAGGATAAAAACCAGGATTTCTGGAGAAAACCCCTGATTTAAGGATTAAAACAGGGATTTCTTGGTGAAAACCCCAGATTGAAGGGGAAAAAACAGGGATTTCTGGGAGAAAAAGCCAGATTTAATGGGTAAAAACAGGGATTTCTGGGAGAAAACCCGAGATTTTGGGGGAAAAACAGGGATTAAAGGGTTTTCTGCCAGCAATCGCAGGTATTCCCTTGAAATCTGGGATTTTCTCCCAGAAATCCCAGTTTTTCCACTTAAATCGGAGATTTTCTGCCACAAAAACACCCCGAGCCCCTCCACCATCGCAGCTCCGCTCCGCCCCCGAACTCTCATTGGTCAGGGCCAGTTCCGGCCGGTTCGTGCCTCTCATTGGTCAGCGGCAGCGCCGCCAGCTCCGATTGGCTGAGGCGCAGCGCGCGGGAATGGCCGTTGGCAGCCGGCTCTCCCCTCACACGGTGCCGGTCCCACAGCCGCTGCGCTTTGGAGCTGTCCTGGCAGCACCGAAACGGAATTGCGGCACAGAATCGCTGAGGACAGCAGCGCCGGAGCCGGGAGGGACGGAGAGCGGCTCCGGGACAGGGAAGGAAGCGTGCGCAGCCATCAGCCACCTCCGTGTGGGGTGAGGGGCTGGGAGCGGGGCTGGGATGTGGGGATGTGGGGATGTGGATGGAGACAGGATGAGGTGTGGGGAAGTGGGATGTATATGGGACGGGCTGTGGATGTGGGGTGGATGTGGGACCGGTATGGGGCTCCCGGGAGCTGTGGGAGAGATACAGGGGGCTGACGGGGAAATAGAGGGGGCGAGGAAGCTGTGGGGAGCTGGGGAGAGCTGCGGGGGGGCAGGGGGCTGCAGAAGGCTGTTGGGGTGCAGGGAGGCTCACGGGGCTGGAGTGGGCTGTGGCAGGGGATTGGGTACACGGGGCTGCAGGGGTGGGTCTGGGGGATTTGGGGCAATAGAGGGCTGCGAGGAGGTTCCGGGGGGACACGGTATAGGGAAACATTCCTGTCCTCGTGGCCTCTTTGGCCAGTTTTCAGCTCCCCAGACTGAGATGTACGGCTGCAGCTCACCACATGGCTTCTTTGGGACGGATCTTGGGGGGGTTTGTGGATGGGCTCCAGGGGCTGGGGAGAGCTGTGGGGAGGGATATAGGGGGCTGGTGGAGGATATAGGAGAATGTGGTTGTACAGATGTCTGTAAAAACAAAAGGAAAAAAAAGGAAAAAAGATAACGAAAAAAAGCCAAGTAAAAACTGAAGAATAAGAGCTAAGAGAAGAATGGCTGGCAAGAAATATGGAAAGAGTAATGCACAGCATTGCGAAGGAAAGCCAGGCAAGAGTAGCAGCAAAGAGCAGGAGAATCCAGATGAATTCCGTGAAGAGCAGGAGAGGTAAGTTGGGCATAAGGCAAGGGGGAAGGGGAGGGGAAGGGAGGGGAGAGTGGGTGGGGTGGGGAGAGTTGAAGGGGAAATGTGGCTGAAGAAGCTTTAGTGTGAGATGCAGCAGGGATTTCCCAGTACGAAAGCCCTGATGGCTGTTTGCCCTTCCGAGCGGTCCAAGCGGAGCGTTGCACATGGCCTGGAGAGAGCATTTGGAAAGCTGCCCAGTGCCAGGCTCCAGGTCGCCCTGGCCGCTCTGCAGCCTTGGCGATCACAGCCCGAGTCTCCCATCGCCTTACCTGAGCCTTCCCTAGTCCCTTGGGGAAAAGGAGATCTCAACATGCCATGGGAATGTGTCACCTGTTCTGGATTCTAGATGATGGCACTGATGCTCCTTATCCAGAGGATTGGGTGGATACTGCTTTTGTGCCTCAGGGAAAACCCAGAGGTAAGTTGTGAGTGTCCTCGAAGGCAGGAAAAATTAGCGGTGTCGTAGTTTATGCAGGTACTTAAGAGCCTCCAAAGGTCTTTCAAGTTTCTTTGTGCCTTAAAGGCCCTGTTCTGTACACGGAACAGTCCTGAGTATTTCTTTACTTGGCTAACTGTCCCATTTCAGTGGGAAAGCAGCCCTTGCCACTCTTTGGAGGAGAGAAGCTCTACGTTTGCCGTTTGGGCCATGTCTTTCCCCGACCCGCCGCCAGTCCTCGCAGGTCACTGCAGAAAGAGCAGGCACCAAGGTGCAGTGGAAGCTGTCCTCACCTGTGTCTGATTACAGCTGTGCCTGCAGGTCCTCTCGGTGAAGTACCGAAGCAGAATCCTGTTGCTGAGCCTGGGCTGGATGCCAAAGGTGAGTCAGCAGCCTTCATTTCTTCACAAGGAGAGTGGTTAGGCCCTGGAACGGGCTGCCCAGGGAGGTTGTGGATGCCCCATCCTTGGACGTGTTCAAGGCCAGGTTGGACGGGGTCCTGGGCAACCTGATCTGAATGTGGATGTTTGGTGGCCCTGCTAGGCAGGGGGGTTGGAACTACATGATCCTTGAGGTCCCTTCCAACCCAGGTGATTCTGTGATTCTGTGATTCTGTGATCTCACACTCTCTGCTCGTATGTGGCTGCAGTAGTTCAGGCAGGGTTCAGCTTTTCAGTGCCCAGTGATTTCTACTCCATGAGAAGCCTGGGTAGTCCCTGTTTTGTGTGTGCTGCGTGCTCCCAGTGTCCTGTTGGCTTTGTCTCTGTGCATCACAGATCTCTCCAGTAAGAAAACCCAAATGTTCTTCCATGCTGCTGTTGAGGATTGTTTCACATGGCCAGGAGAGAGTATGGGGAAAGCTGCTGAGTGCCAGCCAACTGCCCACCTGGCAGCACTGCAACTTACATAACTCTGCTACGCAGCTGTGTAGATGGCAGCGTGTGATGGAAAGTTCTCCTCAGCCTTTGCGTGCAGAAGTGCCTGCAGGGAAGGCTGGGCAAAAATCCTTGGCTGCCTCCTGTGCTGGAGCCCCACAGGTGTGGGATGAACTGGGATGGCGTGGGATTGTGCTGGTATGGGGCTGGGTTGTACTGGGATCGGGCTGGAATGTGCTGGGATGTTCTGGGATGGACCTGGGATGGACTTAGGCTATGCTGGGATGTGCTTGAATGGTGCTGGAACGTGCTGGGGTGGTCCTGGTTGTGCAGGGATGGGGCTGGGATGGTACTGGGATGGTGCTGGCATGTGCTGGGATGGTGTTGGATTGTGATGTGATTTTGCTGGGATGGTGCTCAGATATACTGGGATGTGTGACTCCCATTTATAAGAAAGGTCGTA